TCACAGTCACTTCGTCAATAAAATCTATTCTTCTGACAGTATAGCTCATTTATCATTATTATACATTAATATTCTCAAAAGGAACACTAACCAAATAAAAAAAAAAGATCAATGTAAACGCTGCCACAAAATGATGAAATATTTATAAAGATTCCACTAGTTTTAAAATTTGCCACCAGGTAACGAGCTCCAGGCTGGTTTACTTAAAAACTTCTAATCTTACCTGAAAGAAGTTCTAGTCTTGACCGAAAGAGTTGTGGAAGCAGATATGGGAAAATATAATACGTGTTAGCGGTTTGGAAAACTATTTAATTACTATTCTACTACTATTTATCTGTAATTCATTCACTGATCTCGATAGTAACATTGTTTTGTTTTATTAGCTCAATAAACTTCATTTGTATTCAATGAAATGTTTCTAGCGCACCACGGTTTAGAATAGAAAATACTGTGCTATGATTATCTTCGTGTAATATATCTATCATTGTTTTAGATTTTGATAAATAATAATTTGGTGATAATTTAAGTAGAAATCGGAATACAAAAACAAATGTATTTTTCAAAAATTCATTTCATATAATGGTAATTTGTTTGGGCAAAAGTATTCTTTTTGCTGGCTAGAAAACGTGCTTTCGGGAAAATGTAATTATAATTTTGGTGTATGGAAAAATAATTCTCTTCAGGAGATCCATTCATTGCTATTATTTGCTTTTATGTTTAGGAAAAACCCATTCATTTTTGTATTGTGATGAACATCATACAACTGATGATCAAATTATTGTACAGCAGCATTTTATTTTTACATTCATTGTCGACTTTGTTACTTCAATGTTTGGTGTGGGTTTGCTTGAGAGTTTATATCAGAATGATTGCAAACATAACATAATATAATGAAAATTTGGAGGAACTGTAACCGGTTTTAACATAGTGACATAATAACAATTTATTCACATGGAAAGATGGGTCACATGATACTTCATTTTTGATATCACATGACAAGTCGGTGACATAACTACTCTCGCATATGTAGGTTGAAAAATTGGCTTAACATTTCGAAGAAATCTATTGTGAGTAACAAAAAAGATAGTTATTAGATTCATAATTTTCCTTTTTTTTAAACTTGACAGATAAATTGAATGCATTTTTCATTGTTTTGAAGGATATAATAAAATTACTAGAATAAAGCTCTGTATCTGATTTCGGTTACTACAAAATTCAGAAATGAATTCATTTCTGTCTGTAGTCCAGTACTTGACGAAATTCCGTAAAAAACATATTGAAGAACAATTTATTATGGTTACAAAACCATATGTATTTCCCTACAGAAAAGCTCCTTCTTCGGGTGTGTCTTATACTAAACTGCTGCTAAGTTGGTATTTGACACATCTGAAGATGTACTAATATGGGAGTTGCAGTTTTGTAATCTGATATGTGAGAATTTCTCGATATTACTTTTTTTAATACTTTGGGTGATGTCAACTTGATGCATTCTCTAAAACAATATCCTGGTGATGGTGTCAGATAATTTAAATTATTTTACTTCTTTCAAATCCATATTTGTAATAATATGAGTGAAAAATTAATCAGAAGGTAATATTGATGGTATTGTATCGTCTGTGCAATAAATTTCACTGCAATTTTAGGGTATACAAAATAAATATTCATATTTAATTGTAATATTGCCAGCTTTGGACCAATATTTTCAATACAAAAATAGTGATTATTTTATTTTTTCCAACAGAAAATTATCTTCAGAGAAATGGCTTGAAATTGGTATCCACAGCAGTGGATTTATTGTATTGGTTCAAAACTAGCTAGTGACATACATGTTTGAGGACATTTGAATTTCTTATTAAATTACTTTGAAGTTTAATGAGTAGGAAACTTTATTTTTCGGGTCAGAGAGTGTAAGAGATATAATATTGTAATTTGAATAAATACTAGATTATTTATGAAATCTGGATTTTTCTTCCATATCTTAAAAGTTTGTTGTTATGTACTTCATTACTGTTAATTATTATTTGTCTGTATTTTTTCATGTATTACAAATTATAACTTACCGACATGGTGAAATTGATATTCATGTGTATATATCAAGGAAGTGTTTGTTTTGTTGAATGGAACTGGCCGATACTTGATAAAAATCCGTACCAAAACTTATATGAGATTTATTTTGATTTTTACTATAGAAGGATTACAAAATAGCGATACGTTTCCCTTTTCTATGGCTTTCTGCGACGTGTTCTGCTATACAGTAACTTTCTCAAACAGGATTTTGTTAACTACTTTAAGATTGAAACATTTTATTTTCTGAAAACATAATCAGGATCTATGATCCGATCAGATATTTAATTTTAATCTAGTTTTATCTATCTAAAAAGAGTGGATACAAAGATTTCATTAACTAGTGAAATCAGGTAACTCATTCAGTAATAAAAACTGTGAAAAACAAGTCAATAAATTATATCGGTCACATATTAATTATTCTAGGGTCTGACAAAGCACAATTATCTGGTAAGAATACGTTAAATAACGGGGAGTTATTCAACTCAATTTGATTGTTCATTAGATATAGGGATTTTTCGAATTTCAGACCTTTCTTCTCGAAATGAAGAGTGTCAAATTCATCATTGAACTCGTGTCCCTCTGTAAGGAGAATACGTTGAATTTATTTTTCCATTCTGGAAACCGTTCCCATGTTTGTTTAAAGGTGGTTGACAATGTATTTCATCAGTTCGGACTTCCATTGTCTTTTTTTATTTGTTTGGTTGTTGCTTGCATGTTATTTCTTTGTTATTTCAGTTTTTTGTTTAATAAAATTGTCATTTTCGGTTATTCTTATTAATTTTTTCAGGTTTTCAAATCAATTTATATTATATTAGACAATGGAAGTCCGAACTGATGAGATGTTCCCATGTTCTTCAATGCTTGGTTCAAATGTTCTTCCAGTTTGACCTATGACATAAACCACAAGACAATTTATACACTCTTAATTTATCCGACGCCAAACTCTTGTCTTTATCGCCCCGAAATACGCAATATTAACTTATTGACTTGTTTTTCACATAGTTTCTACTATTAAATGAGCATTTTTACTTTTTTTTTTATCTGTATGTACCTGCTTTTACTAGTTGATTTAATGATTGTTTATGATCTTTTCAAGTAGGTAAAAGTAAATTCAAGTTAATTATCTTATCGTGTCGTAGATCATAGTAATTTTTTATGACATAAAATGTTTCAATCTGAGAAAGCTAATGAATAGCGAAACACTTGTCCCGGCTTTGTAAACCTTTAAAATCAAAATGAGTCTTATCAGTAGGTTTTGTTCAATTTCTTTTTTTCAAGATATATAATTGAAAGTACAGGATATTACTGTGGATTTGTTTCGAAACCATTTCAATTCACCATTCAAAGCATTTTCAATTCACTTATTCCATAATGTTTTTCTGAAGTAATGAATACCAAGAGAATAGATTTTCCAACAGCTTCATTCACAAATTGAACTACACATACTCGGTAAATATGTAGTTTTTTGCAGTAATTTTTCAACAAGTTGTGTAAAATTGTTTTTCAATATATTGAAAAGTTTGATATTTTGTAGGGTACAGCTGTTGATGAAATAAAAAACGCTTTTCATTTAAACTTTACAGATGTTGAGGATGTGAAATTTGTGATCAATTTTGATTACCCATCCAACTCTGAAGACTATGTCCATCGGATCGGTCGTACTGGCCGTTCGCTGAGAACAGGAACTGCATATACATTCTTCACTCCGAGCAATTCGAACAAAGCAGCCGATCTGGTGTCAGTTCTTAAAGAGGCTAAACAAGTTATCAATCCAAAGTTGCAGGATATGGCTGATCGCGGATGGATTCCAAACCCATCAGGAGGAAGAGGTTTGTTGATAAATTTATGTTGCAAATAATGAAGTAATATAAAGGTTGTTTATCAATTATTGTGGGTTGTTTCGCTAATCTTTCCTAAATTCTGGTGAGGTTTTATAGCAAAGTTAAGATCAAACTCTAAACTCTAAGGAAAGAAAACTTTGACCTTATTTTAATATTAAAACTTTTGACTGGCTCAGTTGTTATTCCAAATATAATTTATTTGTTTCACATTATATGAATGGCTTACACAACACTTTGAATCACGAGTGAAGGAAATTTGGTTGGAAATGTATCTCTGAGTAAATTTAAAAATAGTGTTAAGTGAATGTGTGTTGAGTATTTATTTCAATCGTGTTCTAATGTACTTTAGCGAAACTTGTTATAATGTACATTACTTTGTACAACACAGAGCATGAGGCTTTTTTAAATTCCACAGCACAAAACATCATTATATGAGAATTCTACGCAATACAATATGATCAGTTGTTACAAGATACCCAAACGGTATATTTTAGTAAACACAGATTTTATATGAATCTTAAAACAGTACCAATGAAGATTTTTTTATATATCATTTTATTCTTTCACCAATTTGCATTTTTGTTTCAATGGGGAATGTTCCTCAATTTGGGTTATTACAGCAAATGCAAGTTTGAACAAAATAGAGTTGAGTTTAATTCATGAGTTTTTCAAATTCACTTCGAAAAGTATTCAAATTGATGTTTCAAATGTTGGGTTTTAATTTTTAAAGGGATTTGTTTCTAATTCACATATTGGCAACAGCGCCTAGAATGCTAGATCGGAGTTCAGGTTAGTAGTATGCTAGAAGAAGAAGAATCATGTCAATAGTGTCAAATTAAGGCAAAATATAAATTATAGTTCAATACCACCTCCACAAGCCACATAAACAATAGTTGTTTTGTTATTTATTCATATAGAGGAAGATAGGTTAGGTGCACAAAATGTCATATGTCACAGAATGTCTCGGAATTCGAAACATAAGTAAACAGAAGAGCACGCCTCTGAAATATGTCATCTTTGTTTGTCTCATACAGGTAACAGATTCATTGTCCTTTATTAGCTATAACTGATGTTGCCAAATGGTGAAATAGAAACGAATCCCTTTAAATGTTAAATGCATTATTTCATTCCTCTTTTTTTAAGTATTTAAAAATTTTTTTGAGAAAAAAGTTGAAATGATAAGTTTAAAATGCATTATTTTAGAGCTCTTTTATGAAAACTACTTGATTTTCGTCAGGAGGAACATTCCCTATTATTATTTTTGTTTGTTCGTTTGTTTTCAAATATTTTAATATCTTTTTTTTTTTTATCAGGAAGAAACAGATGGCCCCGGCGAGAAAGGGGACGTCGTTCCTTTTCGAGATCGATATCCAGATCTAGGTCCAGATCACCTAGGCGCAGACGAGACAGAAGTAGGTCGAGGGATAGGATACGTAGAAAGAGATCTCGTAGTGTCAGCCGAGATAGATCTAAGTCTCCAATTAAAGTATCGAAGCCAAATACTTCGATATCACCACCTACTCAGGCACCGATGCCACGTGTAATCTCTCCACAAACACGCCCAACTCAACAATTGCCGCCGTCCCTTCAACGATCGGAGTTACCGCCGCCGCTTCAACGGTCGGTGTTACCGCCACCCATTCAGCGATCGGAGTTACCTCCACCCCTTCAACGACCGAATCAACCACCTCCGATTCAACAACAGACGCAACCTTTACCACCTCTACAGCAGATGCCGCCAGTTGCACAACTGCCTCCCCAATCTGCGCCCTTGCAACATCCCCCGCCGCAAACTCGACCGATTCAACCTCCCCCACAACCTAGAGCAGTCCATACTCCACAGCAACTGCCTCTTCCTCAGCTTCGACATATGCAACACCAAGCTCCTCCTCAGCCACATTTACAACAACCGCCACCTCCCCCTCCACAGCAGCACTCGATGCAGCAACCACCCCCTCTTCCTCCTCAGCAAGCTCCTCCCCAACAGCATCCCCCACCACACACGATACAACAGCATCCTATGCAGCATCAACAACCCTTACAGCAACATTCCCTGCATCAGCCACCCCCACAACCCAGAGCTTTTCAACCTCAACCGTCCCAACCAATGATGGCGTACCACCAGAATCTGCCGCCTCCGCCATCCACACAGGCGAACCCCTTCGGGGGCTATCATCTGCCGAATGGGACACTATTTTTTAATTCTCCTCCCCCGCCACCTCCTGCACAGAGGGTGACAGGGATGTACTTCCAGTATGCGCCTCCACCGCCGACTCATCGTTAGAACCAAGGGAGCTTAGTTAGGAATTGAATTATGAGTTGAGTTGAGGGATTCAGAATCGCTCGTTTGGCTACATACTAATATTAGTGTCCATTGAAAGGGCGTTTCTCATACATTGATTTGGCATCATAAGCAGTTGGGTGACACGGGAAACTTATTTGAAAATAGTATTCCAAAAAGATTTGAGTACTACTAAAAAATTATATTACAGTAGAACTTCAATTATCCGAACTCCAACAATCTAGATGATTTTTAAGAAAAAAAAGATTTGGGAAAGAAAGTTTTTGGCTTTCTACTACATCTTGATACAAAAAAATGTAGAAACCTTCCAAAGAAAGGAAGGAAGTGTTGTTTGTAACAAGAATTTATTCTTAAACAATAAACATATTATCAATTATCATCAATCCATGTATAAAATTACTTATTTTAAAATTGATTACTTCCTTCCTTTCTTTGGAAGGTTGCCACATTTTTTTGTATCGAGGTAGAGTAGTAGAAAGATGAATGGAGTTCTACTGTACTTAACGTGGTTCAGGATTATGTAATCTTACACAAACAGAAGTTGGATGTGGTAATTGGAAGATGAGGAAAGTATTTTTTTCTCAATAATAAGTTGTTAAAACTCCAGTTACGAAAAACATGTTGCCTAGGATTAACCCTATCAATTGATTTGCTGTCATTACACATAATGTGTGTCATTGCACACAATGTTTTTTATAGGTAAATAACTGAAGACGGTATCTACAATTGATGGGTTGCTAAAAAATATTACGCCAGTAATCAATAACGAAATGAACAATTTTTGTAAGAAATCTCGATATTAGAAGGTAGAATTTCATATGATTTTGTAATACAAAAGCAATTCTGCAAAATAAGTGTTTTATTGAAAATACTATCAATGGTTTCTTTCACCCCCATTGACATATCGATACATGTTCAAACTTAAGAGTTTTTTTTTTCAAATAGTGTATATTAAAGTGGCAAAACAAATGTTTATGTATCCTTCATTTGAAACATTTCAATCGTACTAACACGTTGTTTGTTGCTTCAAACTGATGTGACAATATACTGAGGGTGTTTTTGGTATAGCATCTTCATAATGTCTGGGTCAATTTTCAATATATGGAAGAAAGTTTGAAATCTCATGAAATAATGAAACTAAGTACTTGCTCTGTATCAGTAGAAAAAATATTTCGATTTGTATGTGATGTATTGAAATTATTTATATTATTACATTTCTTTGATTTGTTGTTTTCATCTTAAAATGTTGGAAAAAAATTGATCCAGCTCAACTAATGAAATAGGACAAACTGTAAATAGTTAATTGTAAGGAAATGAGTTGTAGTCTGTATTATTCAAAAGGTATTTACCAAGTTACAAAATCGAATTTTAATTAATTAAAGATATGTAGGCAAGTCTTCTGCTTTTTAATTTCCTACCCCATGAGAAGCATAATCCTGACCTATTTGTTGGACTAGTCATTCTTTTCCACAAATACATTTTTCAAGATGTAACTAGGAGTCCCAGAAATGCAATTTTTCTATAATTGAATGTAATGTATTCATTCAATGTGATACGTAACGAGATTAAAATTTGAAAAACTGTAGTTGAAACAGAAATGGTTATGATTATTATTGAATACTGATGCAAAATAATTAGTTCTACAGTATGTGAAATGTGAACCAGTATTTTTTATTCTACTCTTATAATACATCGAGTTGGGAGTATTTTAATTTTTCAGACGATTCTTTATATTTCTCCAAAATTGACATAGGTTATTTATTTATTCCATCTTCACTGAAAAGCATACACTTGCATGAAGTGAACAGATGGATTGTTATAAGATTTGTCAACATTCTAAAATTGCATGGCATTAGCCAACCGATATGCCTTCATCCTCAGCAACTTGTCTAATAGTGATTCGCCGATTCAACCATAAAAAATTTCTTTCCGTCGTCATTCACATCTTCTCGACCTTGAGTGAACGTTTTTCTGACTCAAAGAGTACAACCACCGTATGCAACTGTCAACATTTCAAGTGTTTTTGAACATTTAATTCCATTATTTACATAAAATTTGGTGCAAATTTTTTTATCCATTATTTTTCGATAGCAGAAAATCTCCGAATACGCAAAACACTTCTTTTATATCTCTCACCAACAAACTAAACAGCTGAAACTTTGAACATATGTACGAGACGAGTATACCAACATAAAAAAATCGTTAATTGAATGTACATAGCAAAATTTCAACATTCACCTCATTTTTTACAATCCACCTACAATAGAAAGTTAGTGATATTAAAAACAGGAATATATGTTTTGAAGGCTCTTAGTTTAGTACAGTGAGTAAATAAAATTGAAAAATGGCAAAATCAAAATAAGTATTAAAAATTAGAGAAATTCTTCAAAACTGTGTGTTTTACTAACTAGCAATTCCATATTTTCTTTTTAGAACCAATGAATCCTTCTGCTATCTTTTATATATTACGGTATTATTATTACTATTTTCTGAATTATTCATATAATTAGAAAAAAACACGGGTAAACCTGTCACAATGAGTGCATAAGTTACAAAACATATTGAGATCAATGCAACCCAGCTCTTATAACTTATGAAATCTTTTCTTCTCTAACACTCGATGTTTGAGTTCAGGACTGAACTGAACAGGAAAAGAGCTTCTCGAAAGCATTTATGAGAGCTTTTCTTGAATCTAACAAACGTTTAGCAGAGCGATGTTGGATTATCAAATTAGTCAGATTATAGACTACTGCCTAAGACCCTCTATAGTCTGGAATATTTTCAATAAGAGTACTTTGTAATCCGATGCTTTGAGCACAATAGTGGTGGCACATACTAGTTAACAACGTGTGTATAATCAATAGTGATAGGCGTTGGATTACACAGGGTGTAACGGTAAGAGTACATTGAAACAAAAAAATTTATTAAAACATAACAAATGTTGCCTAGTATAAACTCAACTGCTCAACTGAATATTTCAAAGATAAATCATGAGCATCTTTAGTAGTATATTTATTCTTCTTGAAATTGTCCAGCATAGGAATAAGTTTTTTCAAGTGATAGAGCTGATATGATCCTGTATCAACTGGTTTAGCAACTGCAAAGTATCCCTGACTGCACATCTTTAATTTTTATAGTATTAAATTTAAAGAGTCAAACTTATAATGAAAAAATAATAATACACTTTTTCTGTGAATTTATAAACACATACATATCCAGAAAAGTGAGGTTAAATTAAATGATTCTTCTTAGTTATCGTTCTGTGATAGGCCTGAGAATTCTAGGACTAATAGTCAATAAATTTAGAAACATGAAACAATGCCATTATGTAACCAAATGTCAACACAATTTACGCAACTTTGTGAAATAACTTATTTTTTTAGTTCTGAGGAAAATATATCAGTATTGGCAGCATACCTAGTTGTGTTGAAAAACAGCTAATGCTGAATCCCCGCCAACTCATCATGATTTAAAATATTTTGTCTGTGTTTTGATATTATTTACAGCTTGATATGATGATGAATAAAGACGATTTATTATAATTATCATTCATCAAGGATAAATTGATGTCTGAAATGAATATAAATATACACTATTGGCACCATCTTGCGACGACGTCAGAACTACAATAATTTCTGAAACAAGTATCACCGTATCCACCAGTTAGAGAACATCTATATATCAGTATTCATTTTATGCAGAACCGAGGAATTTGCTGAATCCAGGAACACTGATACATCATTTAATTATATCAAACAAATTACAAAGAGATAAAGATCAAACTATAAATATAAATTAAAGATATTGTCATGGCCAAGCTATTTTACCCACTTATTCAGATAATCTTATTAGTATACAGAAATGTATTGTCATACATTTCTAAAAATTTGTGACCACCTCCACTAATAAATAAAAATTGCTGAAGATGCCACTAATCAGAAGCGAAACGTCTAACTGTACCTGTTTACTTCAACATGAGATCAACAACAATGCCAGGTAAACACGATTTACGATTTACGACTGGTCTGAAAAATGATGAGAAATTTGATGTTCTATGCTTAGGATTTCGGTGGTTTATGAGTGCTTTCTGTTTTGTCATTAATCCCCTGGCATTAGGTGACGTCACCAAAGTCGATATTAAAGGGGATAGGACCATTATCAATCTATCGCCTTTAAGTTTGTTTTTGAGTAATGTTTAAAAAAAATCATAGAGAAAATGTTATGTTAACAGAGAGTGACGGTGTCGGTGAATGTGTAAATGATAATGACAAACTAGCAGATAATATTTTAGCTAGGTTAATAGGGCCCATCAATGTTAAAAAATGGCATGCTCTGAAAATTGTATTGTCCTCCAAAACAAATGAAGAATTCGTGACGAAACTACTGGAAATCGCTCAGGAATTCCTGGATAGGTATGTCTGGAACTTACCTTAAATTATAATATTTAGATTTCTGAAATTACTTCCACTGATAAAAAGATAAAATTCACATCTTTGACAATCAAAAGGGAGGGTATCCCTTATTACTTTGACACATTTGACAGCTACCTCACTCCATAAACAAAAAATGTAAACAATAGCACGTGTTCATTGGAATTTCAGGGAATTTCCAACATTTTTTGTATTAAACTGTGATTAAACATACAGGCAACTTGATCAAGTTTTATAAACAGAGGTGTTTTGGTTGGATAAGGTAAGATTTGTTCGCTTTGAATAATGTGTTCTTCACAGTGTGAGGGTCAAGGTTCTCCAATAAATAGAAAGCATATAATACATAAAAACATGTTTAAAAAATAATGAATACGGATATGTAGGTCAAAATGAAATGAGAAAATTATTTATTCAGTCTAATAGTTGAACATAACTTCTCATCCTGGTGAGATTCAATTTTTATCTAACCGTTTGACACTATATGGAATTTTTAGAGAGTGAAAACATTGACTACATTTATTTGGACAACTTCAAACCACTCGAGAACAAGATTATTAAGAGTATCTGTCTTCCTTCAAAGTTATAAATAAATGATTTCAAAAATAGAGTCAATTCACTTATTTGAATGTTTTTTATTTCCACCATTGATATGGAAATGTCCAATCTCCAGCATGTAGTCTTGTTCAACTAAAATTACTTTTTTAATCTTTTTCTGCCAGTCTTCCTCCCTAATATTAGATACTTCTTTAACTAGCTCTATCACCTTCTTATCAAATTTTGGAAAATTATTTTTACGCCTGATGCTTTGATTCAATTTTCCCCAAATCAACTCGATGGGATTGAAAACACAAAAATAGGGGGGAAGTCTCAATGCCGTGTGTCCATACTTTTCAGCAGTACTCTCAAGAGCATACACTTTTTCAAATGTTTTTGTCTGTAAAACTACAAGTAGTTGGTTTTTGGTATAGTTATTTTCAAAATACAAATTGTAATCCATTGAAAAACTTTGTATTTAATCTTTCCTCGAATTTTTATTCGGTACTTTGATAAGCTGTCGCGAATGATAGCGTTGTCAAGAGCTATTGCACTATTCGCATCCAAATTTGGGACCAATGTGTTTTCAAACCATTCCTCAAAAATATTAGCTTCCATGTTCTTATGATAGTCAACATTACAGTCCTCAAGTTTTTTTCCACATAATTTCAAAGAATTCGGAACCCATCCTTTACTTCCTCCGCAATGCACAATGATTAGTCGCGATCCTTTGTTTGCAGGCATGTTAGGCGTACACATTCTTGAACCATTAGTCCACCCTTTCGTAACTGTGTCTGAGTGCCATACCAAGTTTCGTCCAAACAGAAAATTTTCCGTTGTTCTTGTCTATATTTAGTTTTTTGTTCTAAGTATTTCTTACGCGATTTCACTATTCTTCTGCTTTCCATAACTATTTGACATTTGTTTATTATTTTAAATCTAAATCCTGGTTTATTTATCCAATTCTGAAGAGTTTTGTCACTGCAGCTCACGTTAGGGTCGGAAGTAATGAATTTCTTCCTTATGATTTCAATTTTAGGAATTTTATTGCTTTTGTAACAGTCGTATATTGTTTTTTTAATGATTTTATTAGATGAACATCTAAAGGTTTTGGTAATCCCGCATCACATCGCGTCTTGCTTTCATAAGGTTTGTTTTTGACTATTTTACGTACAGTTGAGAAAGGAATCTAGGTCAAATCTGTTGTTGCTTGTAATAGTTTTTTTCCCTCGAAACCAAACTTGATATGTAGATTCTTATATACATTGAAACATACTCTCTGTGTTTCAATATTCAAATGCATCCGAATCTTATTCACTGGTATCTCTTTTTCGCATTGTTCACCAGCGCTTTTGGAATCACTACACAGGAAAAAGTCTGCGTTGTTATCACACTCGTTATTGCTATTAAACAAATAAGAAAAATTTAAAGTAATTAATACTTCACCAATATCGAATTTCAACACTCATATCGCGATAAGTTCCTGAACTGAACATTGATGACACAACAGCGGTACTCATCATTACATTCTATTGATCAGTAAAAAAAATTATCAATTATCCAATACGAACCGCCAGTTTTTCAGTCTACGTGGGCTAATTCGTAGCGGCATTATTTCTTTGTATTGATTTTTCTGGCCTTTGAGTTCGCCGATAGCTTTAAGAATTACTATATCAGTTACTTCGACTTTTTTTATACCTGAATATGATATCCAGTGATTTTATTTATTTGAACGTGTGTGTGTGTTTATCATGTCCAAGTTTTATTCGTATTAGGCGAGAGTAATTTATCAAAATGACAATTGAATAATATATATTAATTAATAATATCGAGAATGCGATTTGGGACCATCAAAAAGGAGTATTCTATTCTCTCTAGACTACTGGGGGCTGTAGCTCCCCCTAGAATTTCATCCTAGTTACGCAAATGTCTGACACAGCACGTGCAGTTTGTCAAATGTAGGAAGAGCTTTCTAAATGCATGTAGGTTTGACAAGCTGTATTCACAATTGGCGACATGCCGATGCATAATACGAGGTATATTAAAAAAATGTTACAATTTCGCGGTCTACGTGCATTCGATTAACGATTATTTTTTTGTTTTTTTATGTTGGTACACTCGTCTCGAACATATATTCACAGTTTCAGCTGTTTAGCATGTTTAGTTTGTTGGTGAGGGGCCTGAAGGAAGTGTTTTGCGTGTTCGGCGATTTTCTGTTATCGAAAAAAAATGGATCAAAGAATTTGCATCAAATTTTGTGTGAAAAATGGAACTGAGTGCTCAAAAACACTTGAAATGTTGACAGTGGCATACGGTGATTGTACTCTGAGTCAGAAAAATGTTTACAAACAAGCTTTTCACAGAAGGTCGAGACGATGCTTGCCCTGGACGCCCCAGCACATCAACAACTGATGAAACTTTTAAGAAAGTGATGAAAATTGTTATGGAGAATCGTAGAATCACTGTAGACCAATCCAGCGACCTGTCAAAACGAATGCAATATGGCAGCGTAGCGCAAACATTGTATTTTATGATATGCGTCCATAGGAGTTATTGTTTCTTTTTGTGATTTCCTGTGCGTATTTCGGTTGTGTTTTTGAATTTTAATTAATAATTAGTGCTTCAACTAAAGGGAAATGCCTATTACGTGCATTGTGGTTGGCTGTGGATCTCGTAACAAACAGGGATAAAATCGACTTTTGCTCTATTAAAAATGAGTCATCCAGAAAGTGAAGAGCCCTATAGTTAGCTGCAATCAAGCGAGATGATCTCATAGATGCGAAGATTAAGTATCAGAAAGTCTGCAGCAGATATTTTATAACAAGTGAGTCTCTTGATACTTCAGGGAATCTACTCGATAATATACATATTATTTTCAGGCAAACCTGCTTCTTGAGAGGATGACACCTATCCTGACTGGGTTACTTCGTAGAACATGGAACATTCAGCACAATATGTTCGAAAGACTTATAAACATGTTGAAAGAAAAGCGTGGTTGGATAAAAAAAAAATATCTCAAGTAAGTGGTGTTGTTTCAGGTGAAATATTCATGTATTAACATGATTTTGAAATGTTTCTTGTTGACAGAATGAACCCCAGTCTTATATGGATATTGACAATGATGAACCTAGAGATGGACAAGAAACAGGCATTTTAACACGGACTGATTCAACGATGGAAGACCTGCCTCTAAAATTTGAACAACTGACTGAAAAGACTTCCGTTTAGCAACGTCTCTGCTGTTCAGCAATAGTGATTTCAAGTATTCACTTTCCATTTTGATCGAATTTAAACACCACAAAAGCTCCAAAAATGTGTAAAAACACTCCACAATAGCGAACGACACCAAAACCAACGATGCTCTTATGACAATATTCAGATTGTTTGCCCTACGCCGCCATATTGGGTCACGTGGTTTGGATTGCTCTATTAGAGAGGTTGCTGAGGATGTCGACATATCGGTTGGCTCATGCAATGCATGCAATGCGAAAATGTTGGGCATGAAACGTGAGGAAGCTAAGTTCGATCCAAAATTATTGATTTCTGACCAAAAAAACCTTCGCATGAGCGTCGCTCCCGAATTGTTGAATGACGTCAACGGCGATCCAAATTTGCTTAAAAGAGTTTATGTATCACGGGTATATGGTTATGACATCGACACCAAAGTCCAATCGCTCCAAAATGGAGGAGCCTTAGAGAACCAAGACCAGAAAAAGCAGGCTAAGTTGGATCAAATGTCAAGGTGGTTTTTGCTCAAAATTTTCTCTGATTATAGTGGCGTAGTGCATCAGGATTTCTTGCCACGTGGTCGTAAGGTCAATAAGAAGTATCGTCTTAAAGTTAAGCGCCGCTTGCGAGAAGCAATACGAATAAAACGTCCGTTATTGTGGTAAAACAATTCATGACTTTTGCCTCACAATAATACACCTGGTCACTGGTCATTGCATTCCGTTTTTTTTTGGTCAAAAATAACGCCGTAATCATGCTTCAGCCACCGTATTCATCCGATTTGCTCCCCTGCGACTTATTCCTGTTCCCGAAATTGAAGAGAACCATGGAAAGACGGCGTTTTGCGACGATTGAGGAGATAAAAACCTAATAACTGGGGGAGCTTAAGGACATAACAGAACTGCATATCAGAACTGCTTTGAGGATTGTAAAAAACTCTGGCACGAGTGTATTATTGGAGAGAGACTACTTTGAAAGGGACAAAATAGATATTGATGAATGAATTAATATTTTTTGAACAAAAATGAAAATGCACCTTATTTTTTTAACAAACCCCTCTCTGACGTCACATATATTCATGGCGCTTTTTCTATGATTGAATTTTTATTGTTTATATCACCAAAACTGTCGTTTTTATAAAAAAACATTTCGATTATGCGATATTTAAGTTTGAAGGGTTATTTTTCGCCAACAAAAAATACGTGCAAGTTGTCTATTAATGCATATTTTGTGTATTTCAGGCAAGGAGGACAACTTGAGAATGTTCATGCAAAGAAACAGAAAAGTTTGAACAAAAAGCAAAAACTGATCTCATCAAAAGTCATTCACAATGGAAAAAGTGAACCCAGCGAAATAATTGTTGAAAATGTACTGGAAGACCAAAACTCTAATAATGAAAGCAATGATAATAACGAAATTGATGCTGAGAAACAAGAAGTTGTTTTACCAAAGCCAAAGTCTGAAAGTAACAAGCCATCAAAAAAGGTGACAAAAAAATCTGAACATTCAGATAGTTCCAAATCGAAAGTATATCAATTAAATGATAGAAATATATTACCTTTGAAGGATATACACATTTCTGAGAATTTAACAAGTGAGATCAATACGAAAAAAAATACTGCGCCAGAAAGTGATCAAGCTGGTAGCCAACTGGACAAAATAAAAATTAAGTTATGCCACTATTGCAACACCCATCATATTCAAGATCAATGCCCAATTAATTTTCCTCATTATATAATAAATGATGCCTTGAACACCACAAGTTGGAAGGAAAAATTCAAAACCCTCTACGAAATTAGCAGCAATAAAGATAAAAACGAAGTTAATGGTGAAATAGTTGCCAAAGATTGTAAATACAGCTATTCAACCCTGTCTCTACCAAGCGTGGTTCATATCAAGGAAACAAACACTCCTCACGGATTAGGAGCATTCACGAAAAGTGACATTGAACCGTTCACACAATTTGGGCCTTTGGTTGGAGAAATCGTCAAAGAAATGGACATCGCCGAAGACGTGAACATGAAGTATATTTGGGAAATAAACGCCGACTCTGGACACTTATATTTCCACACAGAAAGCACTGTTAAATCAAACTGGCTGAGATTTGTGAGACCAGCACCTACTAGAGATGAGAGGAATCTGTCTGTGATATCAAAAGATTCAAAACTTTATTTTGTTTCTACGAAATTCATCAAATCAGAAACGGAGTTGCTGTATTGGCAGGACTGTCAAACGACGGCGAATAGAAAGAAAATGGAAAAAACAAGTAAGTATATTCTTTCGTGTAACGGAATCATTTTTGTTGATCTGATGATGTGTGTAATTGATGACTTGTTTATTTTGTGGTAAGTCATCATTACTTTAATGAAATGAATAAAAACACTTGGCAGAATCGAGAGATCATTGGACAACAAAGAATCCACCCTGGGTATATTCATAGATATCGAGGGAGCGTTTGATAAAACAACCTTTCCAACAATTACTCAGCAACTACACTCCAGGAATGTACCTCTGGTAGTAGGAGAATGGATACTCAAGATGCTGGAGCAATAAGTATTAATGTAGAAGACATCACAGTGAAAGGACTGGTCATGAGGGGATGTCCACAGGGAGGGGTCTTATCACCCCTTCTCTGGAACATAGTTCTGAATACCCTGATTAATCACCTTAACAAAAATGGATTCTACACAATTGCATACGCAGATGTAAAGTAGTAAAGATAATAATAGGACAATAACAAAATACTAGGAATCAATTCAATGACCCTCATTATGCAAGGTAATGATTCCTGTAGATGCATATAAAAACATTAACATAGCTTTTAAAAATTAGTTTTCATCTCTTGATGATGCTAACTTGGTTAACGAAACGCGCGTCGAGGAACAGTTTGTATCTGAAAGTAACTTCTATGTACATCTTTGTAGAGAATTCATTTTGAACTTGGTTGATTTTTTTATTCTTTCAAAGGTATCCCACATTTCCCGAATAAAGAAAATGTAGAGAGCTAGAATGCTATTTTCCTTCCAAAGGTGTAAAATCTGGCGAGCGGGCTGGCCATTCTGTAGGACCTCGACGGCCAATCCAACGACCGGGAAAAGTAGTATCCAAATAGTTTCTTACTTGTCTGGAGTAATGTGGTGATGCTCCATCTTGTTGGAATACAATATCCATATCAAATTCATTAGGATTCGCTTCGACGATTTCAGTGATGAGAGGGTCAACAGTAGTTTCCAGCATATTCAAATACAGTTCCCCTGTTAAATTTTGCTCAATAAGTAGAGTTCCTACAATATGGTTTCCCAATATTCATGCCCAAACGTTGATTTTTTCTGGATATTGGGTATGTGTTTCCCGGAAAACGTGAGGGTTGGTGTCACTCCAATAACGGCAATTTTGTCTGTGAACATTGCCGTTTAAAAAAATGAACATTCGTCACCAAAACAAATATTGTGGAGATAGGTAGGATGAATTTGCAGAATTCTGTTCTTTGATCAGGGTCATCTTCAGTTAATTAGTGTACCATTTTAATTTTGTATAAATGATACCTATTCTTCTTCAAAAGTCTCCACCCAGTAGAAGGGAGACACCTCACAAACATTCGCGACGGAATAAGTAGACTGTTCAGTAGCTTTTTGTTATGTACACTACCGGTAGTGCACCTTGAATTAAAATATCTTCAATTTTAGGGATTGTTGACGTGGTACATTTCTACTAGTAAAACCGAAAACTAAATGAGAATATTCTAACTGAACAATGACATTTTTGTCGTTTTTATAAACAAAAAATAACTCAACAAACCTTATCGGGTTGTTGGAATTGCCATATGGCAAATAAAAAGGAATATTTCCAGAAATATCGATATTAATGTGTTTGTCTTCAGGAAATTATTTAAGGTTCCGCCATTTAGTAGGTGCAGATATTGACTTCATATTTTGGGGTTATCAAGTATTCGTCAGGAGCTTCAAAATGATGTGTGTCACAAGACCCCCCTTTCCATCTAATTTTTTTCTCCAGATGGCGCCCAGTCGCCATTTTGAAAGTTTCATCTGTCAATTTCACTTCAAAATAAAGTATTCATGCATCAATTTCATTATCCAAAATTTAATTTTTTTGAGTTGACCCATTCAAAAAAAATAAATAAAAGGGGGCTAAGATAATCTTGCAATCCTTACAGAAATAGTCATAGTCATATATTTGATAAAAACGTTGCCAAAGAAACTTGCAAATATATTTCAGCATGCGGAGGGTGTAATATGGATTTCAGTCATCCCCATTACTACAGAATACACTGTTCTTTATTCCATGATGTGAGATACAGTCTGACGATAAAAAAATATCACTGCAAAGTTTGTGGAGCAGCCGTATTAGGAAAGGAAAATATTATGAAACATGCTGCCGAGTTACACAATGGACAAGGAGCATACCAATGCCAATTTTGTAAAAAGGTTCGATAGTTATCTACTTGTATATTCTTTTGGTGGTATATTAAAAGTAAGTTTCTTTGTTTTTATATGTTGCAGTTTTTCATGAGGTTGAATTACTTAGAAATGCATCGAACATATGGTTGTTCTGCAAATCCACACAGATCTCGTCCTCTATGCGACTTTTGTGGTAAAAAGTTTTGCCAACCCCAGAAACTAAAAGTACACATCAAGCGGATGCATAGCGGTAAGCTAATGTTCTTACATTTCCTCCTCCCAATAACAGACTTGTTTCAGATATTTCTCAAGTTTTGAAGGAGTTTCAGTGTAAGAATTGTTTGAAAATTTTGGGATCTAGAGCCGCACTACAAAGGCATTCAAAGGAAGTTCATCAAAAACAAACTGAAGGACAGTGTTCTTGTTCTAGATGTGGGAAGAGATTTCAAAATAAGTCGAATCTCAAAATACATATGTTGACGCACAGTGGAATAAAGCCATTCAAGTAAGATTTCATTTTATTTTCATCAACAGAATCAGTAATATTGTTTATTTTCTGGTTGATTCGGCCGTTACTTGTTGAAAATCCATAGTAATTTCATACATCTCACGATTTGATCTCCACAAAGTTGTAGTTTATAAATTCAGTAATATTGTCTTTATTTCGTCAATTGTAAGTCCACTCGAATATTTTAGTGACAAATCAAAACACTTCCTAAAAATTTAACTTGACCATCTCAGATTTTGAGAAAATTTCTACTATTTAATTTGCACAAATTGCAATTGCTCCTCTCCTAATTGAGCTGTGACCCTTCTATTTTAATGCCCTTTATTCATATAATATTTTCAACACAAGAGGTTTAAAAAATTATTTTTACAACTTCAAAAAGAAATTTTGAAGTAGTATACTCTATAATGGGCAAGCAAAGTGCAATTTCCTCATTTTGTGGAAGTGTAAACCCTGCTTGGAGATTTGGGATCTCTTGGTTCTAAACTAGATGGTAATGATAAAGCATGTTTTCTTCTAATAACTATGCGAGACAAGTCGTACGATGTGGTGTCAACAGCACTAGAAAAAATATCTACTGGAATTACATACGAATTTGTAAAAGGGCATCTTCTGGATGCAGAACTCAAATTTAATGATTCAAATAGGCAAATCGAACAATCAAGTGCATACAATCAGAAGTATGGACACAGAGATTCCAAAGGATGTTTTGATTGCGGAACATTAGGGCATTTCAAAAAAGATTGCCCCAAAAGAAATCAAGGTCAATCGACTAGCAATAGTGATAGAAATCACAAAATAAGAAGTATCATTCACAGCCATAGAAGCAGAACCGAATACAGCATAACTGAATTTAGGAGAATCCCCAAGTCTCCTATTCATTATAGACAGTTATGCAACAGAACACAAGGTGACAAAAAAAGGCAGCAGTCTGATGACAAAAATAGAAGAACTCAAACATGAATTAGTTATATAAATTGTGAATGGGGATAAGTTGTTAGCATGAAGAAAAGGGAGTTAATATTATTAGTTAGCAATTCTAATCAATACATAACCTCTTATCAGTGAAGAAAATAAACAACCAAGGAAACCTGGTCATTTTCAAGAAGGATATCAAGAAGTGCTCGAGTTGTTTTCAACGCAGAAACCACAATGTTCCCCCCATGCCCCCTCCCGGGTTGAGTGTCCTGAAGTAGAAGCTCCCCCCTCCCCAGCTAGTTAGCGAGGAGAACCTAATACCCCAATCCATCCACCCCCTCTCTCCGAGCGGTCCTCAACTTACTGATGGGCACTTCAGCAAAATTGACATCTGACTTCTCTTGGTCGAAAGTCAGCCTTTAGGTGCTATTCTTTCGCGATCGGTTGAATTGTTTTGTCGTGACTATTACTAACTGAATTTTTGCATGGGGGCCCCCAAAAACTAACCGGCGGCTATTGTTGTTAGCGTCGAGCATTCCTCAGTGAGTCTAAGGATAATTGAATCGCGATCGAGTTGTTTTGCGGTGAACCTGTTGAAAGAGAATTTATCTGATTACTATGCTTACTCGTCGTGGTGGTCGTTGGTTTTGTTTTGTTGGCCTCGGGTGTTTATCCCTTTCTCTGAATCTGGAGTCATCCATATTCAACGCGTCGTTTAGATCGCGTAGCGTTGGGTTGTCTTGCGATCTGATTCTATCGAACACGCTTTCTGTGTGTTCTCTTATATACACGTCCACATATTGCGTGTCCAGGTCCAAGTCTCTGTATATAAATCTGTTGGGGATGTAGTACGGTGCGTTTACGGCGGCCCTTACGCTCGCGTTCATAAACGACTGTATCTGCTTCCTGTATGTCTGTTGGCACTGGCCCCAGGCAGTGCAGGCATACAGTATTATGGTCATGACAACGGTTTATATCATCAGAAACTTCACTTTCAACCCCATGTTGCTTCTGCGTCCTATGATAGGTGCCAGGCGTTGTCTGGCGTGTCTAGCCATTCCAATTCTCTGCCGTACATGGGACTGAAATGTTAATCTCCTGTCTAAGATGACCCCCAAGTATGTCGCTTTGTTGGTCCACGGAATCTCTTGTTCGTTTAAGGTGACGTTGCCTTACGGTTGTACAAACCTGCGAGTGAACAGTATCGCCTGACTCTTGTCAGGGTTTATACTGATCTTCCACAGGTTGGTCCACTCCTCTAATTTGTCTGCCTGTTGCTGCAAGTTCCTCGTTACAAGCGCTTGGCTCGTGGATCTCGCCAGCAGGGCCGTGTCGACCGCGTAGAGCGCCAACTTGTTGAAGTTGTTCTCTGGCTTGGGCACGTCCACTGTGTATACGGAGAAGAGGTGTGGCGAAAGGACTGCTCCTTGTGGGACCACTGCTTCCAGTAGTCGACTTATTGATAGTTCGTCTCCTACTCTGCAACGACATCGCCTGTCAGCTAGAAAAGACTGAATTGATCTTACCATTGGTTTTGAATATCCGAAATCGCTCATTTTGGCCAGTAGTCCGTCATGCCAAACTCTGGCGAACGCCTTGGAGACGTCTAAGAAGATGGCTCCGGTGTTGTGTCCTTTGCCGAGGTTGAAGCCTTCGGTCGCGAAGCCACAATGTTGGAATTTGTCTCTGGTTTTATATTCTTATTTGTGGGCGTAGCTTCGTTTCTCTCAATTGGGTTAAATGACTGTTTGTGTACAATTAAGGACAGGTAGCCAGATTTTACTTATGTTTATTGCCTCTTTATATATTCTTGGATAATAATTTTGAGTATTTTCGTATACCTATCTGTGTTTCTTTGACTGAGATAATGTGAGTGCTTTCTTTGTTGAGAGCATGTTTGGCTACAATTGATTCGTCGGTTTGTCCGAGGCGACAATTTCTATACTTCTTTTTGTGGTTCCAATGTAGACCGACCCGCAGCTACCGACCTTAGCTTACCCGTCTCTCTGAATGTTTTCAAAATTTTAACGCTACAATTTTTTCAAGGAACAATTATGATAGATGTCCAGTGAATGATGAACAATTACTTCATAATGATTTCAAAATGATTGTTTTTCCTTTTATGCTCGGTATTTCAGATGTAACAGTTGTGATGCAGCTTTCACTACCAAACAATGCCTGCAATTTCATTACAAAAAAGTACACAATTTCACCGAAGATAATATGCCAAAAATAGAGAGAAGTATCGATTATACCTTTCAAGCGTATAGTGGTGCTAAAGATGAATCTGATCATAACAAAAACGAATCATCTCCAAATCAAGCAGATAGAGATACCGAATCTGACAATGGAAGTGAGTAGAACCTTATTTCAGCAGGAGGACAAACATCATTGGAAGTTTTTATAAGTGATGTAATCTAAAAAAAAAAATCTCCTCAAGGGGTGTTTTCTATCAATAATTATCTCGTCCTCTTGGTTACATTCAAATAAAACTTTTTTTTTGGTAACTATTAGCTTTTGCATACTAGGAAAGAAGCCTTTGAATTAGTATGAATCTAGAAACTGACAATCAGTAGTGTTATTCTACGATTACTTACTTATCTTATTTTTTATCAATTCAACCAAAATTATGAAATTTCACTTTTCTTAGAATTTCAAGAAATCCCGTTGATATGGTTCATTCGTTATTGGGTTACAACTTGCTTACAATGTTCGTGTCATCTTGCTAAATGTCAAAAACTAATAAATATTTATCTGTTTCTATTGTTTTTGAGTGCTTCACACTGCTCTGTAGACTTGAACGAAAATTCTGTTTTTCAATATAATTTTTATCTTTGATCTCGTTTAACTTATTTGTTTGATCAGTAGAATTTGGAACGTGAAATGAATCTACTGAAAACACTTTTCAGATCTCAATCATCTCCTGATGGTGCTAACTTTGTTAGCGAAACACGCGTCGAGAGACAGAATTTTTGTCCTGGTGTAGGAAAAGAGTTTTCAATAAATTATTGATAGACAGATAGACATTTGAAAACTTTTTGCAGGTATGGATAGTGAAAATATCGATGATCCGAAACCATTCGACAATTCTCCTTCGAGGAACACCAACGACTTCCATCCAAACTCACCGATGAACAGTCCCTTTCCAGACGATTGTGCGAAGAGTGATTTGACGAGTATTAACGGGAAGGTATTGAGTAAAGGTTCCAAAAAATGGATTGGCGATGAGCTCTCTGCCGTAACGAAATTACCGGACATATATTCGGTGGAGCGACTCAGTAAGGAAGACTTGTCGGGCATAACGTTACAAGGAGCAGAAATGTATGAGAAAAACAAACTTTCAAACATCAGCGATTTCGGGAGACACGAAGCTTCAAACGCCAGTCTACTAGTTGAGGCAGCTCTAGACTCGGTGTGCCACGAACCTAACATAGATATCGACGTGAGCTCCACTCCGAACTGTACCGATTCCCTTGTCAATAATCTGTACAACTTGACGCAGCCGGATAGTTTAGCCGACGTGAACTATAATGAAACGTGTATTAACGACTCCAGAGACATAAATTTGATGTCGCCTTCTGTCAATGACCGCGTGTCAGTTACAGACGAATTTAACGAAGAACTAAGACAAGACGATAACATTAGCATGCACTACCCTAACTTTCACCAGAACGATTTCAGCCCTCCACATAGTCCTGACATTCACAGATCGAATTTCGTCAGGAACTACATCAATAGTTTGTCGCCGCAAAACTCGTACGAACAAAAAAATAATACTCCCGTTCCGAGTCCTCCTAGGTATGACTTCGGACATGCGGTCAATCCGGAGCATTTATCATCCGATGACAGCAACGGCATGACCGTCCAGAATCTCAGCCTGAATGATTCTAAAAATGGAATTCAATTGGATCTCTCATTGTACAAGTCTTACAAGCATACAAGCCAGGATTACGTTAGGAAATTGAAATTTGCTACAGCTAGCGACACTTTGGATCAAGACCATGTAGATGTTATGAACCAAGATCTCCCTAGTAGCATTTCAAATATGGAGTCCGACAAGGAACTCGTCGAGAGAGATGACCATCCGAAATACTCGGACGAACTATCAGCTGAAATACGCAACAAGTTCGAACTGGATTTAGACATGCGACTGAAGGGTTATGACAGTATTGACAGTGAAATCCTGAGGCAGAGAAACCACACTTATGAAAGCGGAGAATTGGATTTCCGGAATAAGACTTATGACTTGATAGACCAAGTCGAGAACCGCAACAAACCGTATGATGGGATCGAATCGGACTTTCGGACTGACCGAAGTTTCGAGCCGATAGTACTGAATTCGTCAGAGATGCAAGGGCTGGATATGTCTGCGAGGAGTTTTCACAACTACCCCAACATCAACAGATATCACCCGCTCTATCCGGACGTAGACAGAGTAGATCTGCGGTTGAACTATAGCCCTCCGCCTCCTACATATACGCACGCGGATATTCTAAGAGCGGTCTCCCTCGATCTCACTTCTCCCGGCAGACACAGCGTCGATCTCAGTTTGAGGAACCATCCCTTGCATCAAATCGCCAATTCTCGCTTGCTGACAGAACATGGACTCCAACCGAATCCACACAGACTCTTGGATCAGAGTCGGTTGTTAGGCGCTGAACTGACTTCGACTAGACATTTAAATGGCGAGAGAATGATGGCGGATGCCAGCAGTCGAATTCTGACAGATCACAGTACGTCGAGGATATTAAATAATGAGCAGTTGAGCACGAACCATCTGCTAAACTCGGAGCAAAACAGGCTTTTGAGTGACGAGAGTAGATTGCTCGGAGATGGTAGGATTCTCGGTTCGTCCACAAGTGGAGGAGTTTCGCCGGTGCAAGGATTCAGTGGATATTCCATTTCTCAAAATCCGTATCATCCCACTCCTATACCGACGAGGCCGCACGTTACTTCTCCGACACCCGCTCCTTATCATTACCCGGCTTATTACTGATGAATGATAATACATGATGAAAATCCGTCAAGTATACAAGAAACACCTTATAGTGAGATTTTCACTACATTGTTTTTCAAAAACAACAATAGCTTTTTCAGGCGTGTCTGTACGTGTATAGACTCAATAATATCAAGTACATTTATTTATGATTGATGTATACATCTGATACTACAATGACAATGACAATATTAAATTATCCATTCAACATTTTTCTTTCACTCTCACTGATTAATGAATTTAAATTATGAAATTATTTGCTTAGAATGACAACATACTTTCGAAATGAAACACGTTTTCTATTCGATATTTTGATGAGATTTTTTTTCGACCCTTGGACACAGTCCATACCAGCCAGCAACAATGAGAAATCTTGATTGACATTATTTCGATAAATTCCTAACAGAATCATGATCTCTTGTACAAATTCACTCATTCTGATTCATAATTACAATTCCGTTGTGGAACGTTATTTTTCTGATCTGTGGATTTTGATTATCAACATCGATTTCAATCCTAAAAATGAAAACATGGGTGGTATTCAATCATCTCATTGTGAATACTGTCACTTTGTGGTTACAATTAATTTGTACACCATTTTAAAGAGCATCACATGCTTCATGGCCCTATCTGATGCCACCACTGCACTGGAGGTCACAGAAACAGAAAATACTAAATCAAAGAAAAACAAGCTTCTCATTTGAATATTTTATATTTTGATTCAATGATTGTGGCACGTAAAACAAAACAGCTAAGTTATAAAGTCTCATCTAGCCATAAAAAGGTTATAATTATAATAATGAGAATGAAGATTTGAAAAATCGTATTTTCCAAGATATTGAATTTATACTTCGAGTTAACACTCGTATCAATATAAATTTTATGAAAAAAATACATCCATTGTCAAACGTTTGTATATTATTTACAATTTTTTCCCACTGTGTGTAGTGAATTGTCTTTTTTTATTATTTCTGTTGTATATACCGAAAAAAACTGTGATTTTTATTTTTGAATAAATTATTGTAATTCCAGTCAGCTGTATTTTTCCTTTCGATGTTTATATTTGATACCCCCCTCTTTGTGTTTACACAAGTAAATTTCTGGTCCAGAACTATTATAGTAATAATTGCTGTGGATATATAAATATGACATGTTATTTTTGACTGCTCAAGTAGACGTCATCAAAAAATGATATTTTCGATTCTCGAACGAGATACTGATTAAGTAAAATGCAAAATAGTGTAACGAATTAAAGTATTCACGGTCTTAAACAAATTTATTTTTAACAATATTTCACTATCACAACTAATATATATTCAACACTTGGCAACTAACGTTTAATTTATCTTCACTGTTCGAATTCTTTATTTAAACGCACGATTCGCTTTCTGAATATAGACTGCCATCTCGGAACGGGAAGCCGGCTTTTATATCGGTAACGATCACTGCAGATCTCTCTAATTGTTTTGGCACTCATCTATACTTTTTGCGGTGGTTCGCAGTGAGTCATGTGTTTGCTGGCTGAGATATCGGTCATGGCCGGCTTCAGATTCGTTACAATAGTATTCTTGAGTTATAAAATTGGTTTTCAAAATCAGGAACCGAGATGTCGACCACAACAGCTCTTCAACAGCAAGTTTTTGCCTTGGATGCAAGATATAATGCTCATAGAGTTCCGCAAAGCCCAAATTTTCGTAATTAACTTTTTAGTATAAGTATTAAGCGTATATTTTATTTGGCAATATTCATAGATCAGCAGGCTATTCTACCAAGCAATGTAGTGTTTTTTTGCTTATGGATTTTTCATTTGAAAAATTAATTCATTATAAACTTGAAATTTTCAGAGGTGAAAGTAGGTAATGTTTCTATATCATCTATAAAGCAGGGGAAATCACTAAACTTGAATTTTACCAATAGTAGGTATTCCAAAGCTTTGATCTGTATTTTAAATTACAATTTTCAATGGCTGTCTTCAATTTACTAGTTACACATCGAAATAATCGTTTCAATCTTTTTTTCAAAATCAAAATTGATCTGATTACATTGATTAGATAATCATGAAATAAAAACAAACTACCACCAGGATGTAAGTAAGCATCTCCCGTAAGGAAATGTCATCTACTTAATTCCATAAAGCTTAAACCTTGCTTATCCGAAATGAATAAGAGTCTCCACTGCAATCTGTTGCAAATCTAAGCTTCAACATTGATTGCAGAATGGGAAATCTCTTTCTGTGATTCTCTGCAGCTTTTACTACAAGGCAATTAGATGGATCTCTGACCTAACACCAGAGAACGTCTTTTTCTTCACTTGATGATATTGGTAACCCAAAAATTACCTGACCAAGCCATGTAGTGTGGTCTACATGTATTTCCACTATGATTAAACAATAGATGCCATATCTAAGTTTTCTAAGAGAAAGTCGATAGTAAAATTCGTTTTGTTGTAGAGTAATTCTGCGCAGATGAAGGCACTTTCTTGGTGAATGAATCCAAATGTCAGTAGTTGAATGGGTATAAAGTAATGCAAAATTGACTGAAGGTTAGACAATTTCAGATGACATATGTAATTTTCCACAATCCTCATAATATATCTGATCCATGATTACTGATTACTAATATTGGCCTTTTCTGTTATTATGTTAACATCTTCAAATAGTTTCCTGAGAACTTTCTGAGCTCTTCTTGGGCCTTAGGTCCTAAGGTGAGGATTGTATCTCTTGATTTGAGATTTTTAAAGATACTACATTCACACTTCAATAACAATATTTTCCAACCAACTCATCAGGACAGGGTTTGTAAATTCAAGGGTATAAATTTGAATTTATTTGTGGTGCATTCACCACGGCTTTCTCATGTGTTAGGTACATACACAGCCTCACATATGGTGAATCTTGATATCACTAAAGTGACAACGAGGAACTCAAATAAGAGTATTGGCAACCAACCAAAGTTCAGTTTGTGAGGTAAAATTCCATAGGAACTGTATAGTTTTGGCTAAGTAAATAATTATTAAATTTTTTAGCATAGACAGCGGATCTATTGAAATTCTGATTTTTGTACATTAAATGATCTGAAACACAAATATATGAAAAACCTTCTCACACACCTTTACAATTTTAGGAACACTATACATTAGACGTAGGAACCAGCTGTTGAGAGAGGCCTCAAGACCAACTGACAGATGGAAACAATACATCAAATTGCGATCTCTACTTCTACAACAGAGATATGGGAATGCAAAAGCTGAACAACATAGCTCTTCAAACAGTTTATCTCTTGCTGGTAGTCTCAGAGTAAGTGATAGAGTTGAGAATAGTCACACTGGCAGAATAAATATTTTTCCGGTAGTCGTTAACAATCAGTGAATCAACAACACCCATTCGTTCTCCGTCTGGATCTGTGGTTCCAACAAAAGAAGCAGAAGCTTCAAGAGCTATCGTTGGTGGTAATACAATAGCAGAAAATTATGCATTTGTGGGTGTCCAACACATTTTTGATCAAGTAAGCACCAATAATTTCATATCATTTGTGATCAGTTTACAATATATATATTCATTTATTGCCGGCCAGTACCTACAAGAATGCTTCCATTATTCCTGTCAAAATCATTGATAACTTTCTGGCAACTGTGAAGTGAAGTTGTATCTCTTCTCGATACAGTATTCAAACTTATTTTGATTTCTGTCAGAGAACTAATACAAAGAATGTTTCTTCCCCGCTTGGGGCTTTGTTCACGAGATGGAGCTGTTACTAGTTAACAATCTTTCTCTTAGACGAAGGTTTCATACATGCAGTCGAGCCGTGTTGAAATTATTCGAGTCCCAAGCACATTGCTGTTTGGGTCAGACGAGAGGTAATAAATACCTCAAAAACGGTCTGTACTGAAATGATTTCAGCATGGTCCTGCTGCTGGATGAACGAGAAACATTTTGCGAGACTAATCTCTGTGAGGTATTGCTTGAAGATTAGCTTTGTGGTACGAAGTTATGTTGATTCAACTAAGTAAATGCTTTTCAGCACACTAATGGTGTAACGATGATAAAATTTGCAAATAATGATAAGACTAGACTGTGTTGCTCATCCCTGGACAAGACTCTATCGGTCTGTGATTCCCTAGGAACACCTCCTACCGTGCTGGCTATACTGAAAGGTCATTCTAAGGGAGTCACAGGTACTTTCTTGCTCATTGTAAATTTAGAAGCTGAATAACAAAATTTTTCATTTCAGGATTCGATTGGTCAATAAACAATGATCTTATTGTTAGTTCCTCACTTGATGGAACTGCCAGAGTATGGAAAGTAGCGGATTTCAATTGTTTGAGAACCATCAATGATCCTAACTTGTTCCCGATATTATGTTGTTTGTTCCAAACAAGTAACAATAACCTAATACTAGTATCCTTTGAAAGAAAGACCAAAATCTTTGGTTTGTTAACAAAATTTTGTATATTCTTTCTAGAAATACGTTATTAGTTCATTTTGATATCTCTTTTAATATCAAGAAAATGTAAATCTATCCCAATATGGTTTTAAAGGCCAGGCTAAATTTTCTGAATACATTGTCTGCTATTAATATTATTTGACTTTTTCACCAACAACGTATATGGGAGAAAAAACCCACACAATTCAGTATGTCACTCACATTTTTCTGTCGCAAATAACTTTTTTCTCATATAAAATCTGCTTAAAAATTTTCTTGGAGCTCATTGCACTAACCACAGTGAGACTCACACTATGGGAAAAGAGTATTTTTTAGGACAAATTAAATTTCGAGAAAACACGTTTTTGGCTCTTCAGCTACTTAACTTCCCGACGAATATTATTTTGCAGTTCTGGGGACTATTGTGCTAATTTTTTAACACAACAACCCTCCAATAACCCCCTGTTCTATTGTAAAATTAAATCCCATTGTATTTATTTCATTTTGATAAATACTCGCAAGAAAACTCTTGCGTATAAACTCTCTGTATTAACATACAGTTCTTCCAATTTTTTTTTTAAATTATTGTACCTTTCTGAAACTTCAACATTTATTAAAATAGTTCAGTTTGAAAAATTTTTAATCTATTGCATGTGGCGAACACATGCCTGGATTTGCATTTCAAGAGGTGAAGCCTCTTTAAAAAATTTCTGAATATTCGCAAAAATTTGTGCTGTTTGGTTTTCCTCAATGACAGATAGACAGGAAACGACAGAGGTGAACTAAGAGTTGCAAATGTTTCTACAGGCAGATTTTTGAAGGATGTTTGCAGGATAGGAGGGAGTATATTGAGTTTGACTTCTGACACTAATGGTCGTGTGTTTTGGACAGGAAATGATAAGGTGATAGGAATTTTCATTCAGTGTAACAAATCAAGTGCCTGAATAACGACACTTTCTCTTCGAATATAAACTTGTTTGGGTCGAAAAAAAACGAGGTGATATTAAAAATAAATGGGAAAAGATAAAAACGAAGTTCAGAATTCACAAGAAAACAAATTTTGAATTGAAATCAATTATTCAGTTGATATTGAAAATTCAGAAAGTACTCATTTCTGAAAATAAAACTAAATATAAAACTTTTTTTCATAAACTACACCTCACGATTTGGTCTCCACAAACTTCATTTGAAAAATATATCACGACATGTTTAGCTAACACAGTTCCCCCCATGCCCCCTCACGGGTTGAGTGCCCTGAATTGAAATCTTCCCCATACGGTTAATGTGTGCAGAACATTCCACCTCGTCCATCCACCCCGTTCCTCTGGAGCAGTCCTCAACTTACTGATGGGCACTTCAGCAAGATTGACATCTGACCTTCTTTTGTCAAAAGTCAGCCTCTAGGTGCTATTATTTTCTGATCTGTTGAATTATTTTATCATGACTTTCCTAACTGAATTATTGCATGAGGTCCCCAAGACTAACCGATTCAAAAACTACAACAAAAAATACAGGTCCGTATTTAAAAATTCAAAGATGGGGGTGGCTCAAGTTAGATGACACCCTGTATAAAAGATTCATGAATATATTCTGAGAGCCCACATCAAGTGCCAATAGCAAAATGTGGACTGATTTTCAATATGTCTGCGAATAAAGAAGATATAGGCAAAAAAATAATTTGGGATTTTTTGGTTTTTCCTGTATATCTCCAGAACCAAAAGAGCTATATTTGATTTCTTTACATCATTGAATAGGTCTCTGAAATACACAACTTTGCCACAATTTAACCGACACTCTATCTCTTATCTTTTACGAGATCCCCATGTACAGAAAAGAATTTGAATAGCCCTGTATATATGTATTATTTTCATTCTATATATGGAAGCAATAAAGTCGTTTATTAATATTGATATTATCGATTGAATTCAGGTAGAGTGTCACTTTTCTTTCCATTAGTTCTTATATATTATAGTGCCTTTTCAGCTACTTGAAGTTTTCACACGATAACCACTCTCTTTAAAATTACTAGTAATAATGTTTAGTAAAACATTTTTGTGTTATCCTGCAGAAATTCAAGATTACTGTTGAAGACATCAAAACTTCGAACGATATTTTTTTTGTGGGGGTGTTATCGGCATCTACTAACTTGGTCAGTAATTAGCCTCGTGTCCTGAGTAGGCATCAATAACTCCCCGAGTCAAGGAGCATCATGGCTATTCGCAGTTCGCCACCCAACATTGCAGAATCAAATTTTCTCAAGACATTGTTTCTTTTTACATTTATTTTTATAATTTTCAGTCTTTTTACCAACTTATTGAATCCTATATTACTTGACGGAAAACATTGTCAACCACATTAAATTTTCTCACATTCATTTTAATGTTCAGGATAGTAACAAAAAATGGAAAACAATTGTTTTTAAATTTTTTAACCTGCAGGGGGAAATAATGTCAGTATTTTGCGAATCGAATGGATCCCTTACCAAACTGAAAAAACTAAACTTACCTTCAAGTTGTTTGGTAACGAGCATAAGCTACAGGACATGGATTAGTAGAGAAGCTAGAGATCCACTTCTACTTGTAAATGCCACAGATGATTCGATCTATTTGTTTAAGTGAGTCGATTTTTATATTTCACAGTAATCATTTGGTAACATAATTTATTTGCCTTATTGACATATCTACAATAGACCCTAGTACTGAATTCGTCANGAAGATTATGTTGAAAAATAAATATTCTGCAAAATTTTTATGTTTTCTTTGTTGGGCCGAGCAATTCTGGGACCACTCTTGTATAACAAAGGTTAAACCACCTTACTCACCAAATCTTGTGGAGCAGCTGTTAAGGCTTTCAGGGACTCCTCATGCTCACCTTCCTAGGTTATACAAACACAATAATTATTCACAAAAGCAAACAGCATTCATTCATAAACATGTGTGCAAAATTATCAGATTAAATAAATTAAAACACCATGAATTAGATAAGGTTTTTTTTAGTGGAGTGATCTTAAATTAGATCTGAAAATTGTCACTATGTGGAATTATTACATTCAACATAAAATTTAGTGTTGATTTAGAGTAATCCACTCATATGTTTCGTTTTAGTAACAACAGAGAAAGTGTATGTGGGGGTTGGTAGAGCATATAGTTTATGATAATAATATCTAATTTGATTCACAAATTTTCAACAAGTAGTTTTTGAGAAGATGCATAGACACTGCGAGATAATACTTAAAACACTCTGAGAGGTCGCAACATTACATTCATTTGGAAAATGTGTCTAAGTGGATCAACAGTTATTACTTTCAAAAAACATTCCATTTCGCAAATCACATGCAAATTATTGTCACAGAAGAAAAGTTTCTACGAAAAAACAATGAAATTTCTCGGTCTTTCTCTAGTTACAAAAATGACATGAAATACTCATATAGTGTGTTCGAAACTAAGCACAAGGTCCGCAAAAGATAGTGCCTGATGTAACCCAAATACAGGCAAATTTACCTGCAGTACCTGCACTAAAGCTTTCTAGCCACATAAAAGAACAAACAAGAGGATGAAACGTTCAGTTTAAGTAGAGCCAAGAGGATGCAGGCTATACTATCATCTTCATGGCTCTATTCAAATCAAATTGGGAGATACATTAAGAAATTAAAATATTTTACAACTTTCATTTAAAGTTTTCAATTTTTTGGTCATTAAGTACAATTTTAGATATTATTTCCTGTTAGGTATTAGTGAGAATTAAGTAAAGAGGAAGTTCTTTCTCTTGTAGTGTAATAGTTTTCGTTTTTTTTCACAGTATCATCGATGCAGAAGGAAATCTGAGATTGAAAAGAAAATTTCAAAATAGTCAGAGGAAATACATCATCAGATCTACTTTTTGTCCAATAATGTCTTTCAGACAAGGAGCGTGTGTAGGTAAGTCTAAGAAAAATAATAGTTTTTTTTTCAAGAGGCATATATGGAAATGTACCAGGTTGGTGTAACTGAACAATAAAAAAGTGCAAAGACAAGTTTTTGGGAAGGTAGTGTCTTTCTACTTCTCCATGTTCATACAAAAATGTGGGAATCTTCCAAAACATTTGTTTCACAAAAATTAATCTCTCCTAAAAGTATTATGCTTTCAATTTAAAGACAAGTTGTTCAAATATTCAAATCATCAGTGTTTGGGATATGATAATTCAAAGTGACTGTGTTGAATATAGCTTCAGCCTGATGTTCATTTTATTTTTATTCATAAATAATTGTGATGAGTAATTTTTTGAAACTTACCCATAATCTAATAATTTTTAAAAATTGTTTTTATGTATTAACTTTGGTATGACCGTAGATATTTTTGTGGAATGAATCTTCTATGCATCAAAAAAGTTCCGCCATTTTCCAAAGAGTATGTGAATCTATGAGAAAAAAAAAACAACAGGCATGCATATTGTACGAGGTGGAAATTTATTTTTTTTGGTCTGGATTATTTAGTGTTAGCAAAGATCATTTTTTTGAAATTAAATATTAGTATTTGAGGAAATGGTCAATAAAAATCATTATTTTTTTACACCACTATCATCCAAGTCTAAGTAAATGAAATACTCCAAATCATTCATTCAACATGAAATGAAGGTTTTTGTTAAATTTTTTTTTTCAGTTACAGGAAGCGAGGACGGAAGCGTTTATTTTATTGACATCGTAAAAAGTGGAAAAAAATGCATTGTTAATACTTTGCAAGGACATTCGAGTGCAGTCCTCGGCATCAGCTTCAACTATGATGAATCGCTCTTAGCCACGAGTGATTTACAAGGTCTTATTATCATTTGGAAAAAGGGCAATGCATGATTAACCTACAGTATTATTGTTTTGATTCAATACCTTTTTTATTATATCTAATATAACTGATGAGAATAAAAATATTCATCGTATTAACCATGGTTTGTCTTGATTATACATGGACTGTTCAAAAAATAAGGTGAATGTTCAAATTTCGCGGTTCGCGATTTTTTTTATGTTGGAACATTCGTCTCGAACATATGTTCACATATTCAACTGTTTAGCATGTTCAGTTTGTTAGTGAGAGGCATGAAAGTTTGAAGTGTTTCTGCTATCAAAAAAAATGGCACAAGTGTTTTATATATTATTATAGGGCAATATAAATTGATAAATAAATATTTTTTGACAAAAATTTAAATTTACCTTACTTTTTGAATAGACAGGCTGTGAGTCATTTCCCGTTTTTTTCCAAATCAAGGACTTGTTTACTAAATTGAACCATCAAATTCTACTGAATAAACTTTTTCTGTTGGTTTCGATAGTCAACTGTCGAATTTACTGCAATGAAAAGAGAAATGAAAATTTCAAAGTTTTTTACCACTTTTCTTTGTAACTAACGTTACTGCAGTTTCGTCCTATATGGACATTTTCAAACATACTTTTGTATAACTATTGTCCATGGACATTCTCAAACTCATACAATAAACTATTGTATAACTATTGTCCATATAGGACGAAACTGCAGTAATGTTAGTTACAAATAAAAGTGGTAAAAAACATAAAAATTTTCATTTTTCTTTTCATCATGATCTCCTACCACGTAGTAACGGCTACATCCATCAATTTATACAAATAAAAGTGGTAAAAAACATAGAAATTTTCATTTCTCTTTTCATTATGATCTCCTACCATGTAGTAATGTCTACATCCATCAATTTATTGAATTTACTAGTCTTATTTTCAGAATCGTACGCTATTTGTAGAATACAAAGGACACAAATCAACAGAATTCACTTCAACCTCAAGGAAGTAATCTAGCTCCTCTTCAATTTTTTTTGTTTATAAATGATAGTGTTCCAAATATCTCTAGTAACGTTACTCTTTGCTGATGACCTGAAGATTTTCAGACCCATTGAATCAACCGAGGACTGTCTTATTCTGCAGAAGGAAGTTAATTTGATACATGAATGGTGCATACTAAACAAATTCCCACTGAATATTCAAAAATGTAAATTTATGAAATACACCCTCAAGCACAACAATATTCAGTTTGACTATGAAATAAATGATGTCATATTAGAACAAAGCACAGAAACTAAAGATCTAGGCATCATATTCGATAAGAAACTTAGCTTCACTTCAAAAGTTAATCAAATCACATCTTCTGCAAAAAAATTCTTAGCCTCATCATCAGGACGTGTAGAGCCTTTCAAAACCAAGAATGTTTTATAACACTTTTTAATGCATATGTCCGATCTCGTCTGGAATATGGCTCCCTAATCTGGTCACCTATATACAATGTGCATATACAGCAACTCTAATCTTGTCAAACAATCTTTATGAAATACATGGCTTTCAAACTGGATGGAGCTTACCCATCCCAAGGAATTGATAATAGATTGTTGCTAAATAGATTTGCCCTCTTATCCTTAGGCAAATCTTGTATCTTCATATATAAATTGATTCATAATTTGGTTGACTGCCCAGATTTGTTATCTCAACTAGATTTTCACTTACCAAGACGATGTAGTAGAAACGAAATATTTTTCTATTTGCCTTGGATTAACGTGTTAATAAAATCCCCAGTTTAAAACATCTGTAAAATTTATAATAGTTTCTATTCAAAATGTGATATTTTTGTTGTTCCATTTTGACGCTTCAAGTATATAATTCGTAACAAGCTATTTTTTATGCAATTCAAATTACAGTATAATTACAACCCATAAGTGAAATACTGCGTTTCAACTCTCTGCACACTGCCAATTCTATTAGAATTCTACAGTATGTTTCTTTTTTTATTATTATTATTATATGAATGTATCACTGTTTGTATAATATACTAACTCTATTACTCTGCTGATTTTATATGCTATTCGTTATATTCCATTGTACTCATACTTAGTCATAGCTGTAAACTTAATTATATTTGTCTTGTAATTGGGATTGCACCTGTTAGACAATAATTTTTTTTTTGTGTAAGATATCCGAATTTTACTTTTGTGTTGCCAAGAGGGTAAGATTGAAACTCAGGAATCATAAAATAAGAACTTTAATTATTAATAATTACACAGACTATATATTACACTTCTAATAATACAAGAAATACTAACCGATCACATATTAGGTCCGATACGGACATTAAATATCTACAACAAAAACTGAACATATTAAAATCGAACAATCTACATCTAAGATTTCAATCACTTGCTAGTATTATATAAAAATCAACTACTCTACAACTTTAGACAACAATTGGACGTCCAGTTTCAGTTTGTACATTAGTTTTTTAACTACCCACAAAACTTCACGGTTTAATACGAGATGTAAACATTTAAGTAACATTAATAATATTAAGAAAACCTATAACACGTTAAATATTTTCTCGCGAATGTCAGATCGTCATTCCGATCAAATAAAATTATAGAGCCTAAGGAATTAAAAAAAAATATATAATCAAAAATTTGTCAATTCAATAACTAAAACAAGTAAAATATCACAATTATTTTATGTTACAAATTATTTGGAATTAGAGCCAATTGGGTACATGTCGAAGATGGACAAAGAGAATTGGGATAAATTATCAAAACAAGATTCAACTCAATTCGATCTTCACCAGAAAAATAAACAGTACCCCATTATTACCATGTGAAAGATATTGAAAGAAATCAACTCTCAAATTCTTATTATTTCTCAGGCTATAAAAAAAGAAACCTCAAAACAGCCAAACTTTTTCTCTTTAGTTGAATAAAAGAAATACTTTTTTTGATAAGAAACTTCAAATTTTCTATACAGTAATTAGTTTGTTAAATTAATGGACGTAAATAAATAAATTCACACTACCCTATTTTTGAAATATCTTGAATTATGATGAAAATGAGTGGAGTCCTGCCTTGAAAATTTTGAGATCATTCAAAACTCCAAAATTTGCCCAGCTCAACAGTACTTCCTATCAAAAAATTGATATTAGATCTGTCAAATTAATATCGTTACAAAAATAAACCCTTTCGACAATCAAACCGAGCCAATTCCCAGACAGGCTGATCCAATTCGATTTTTATTGAATCCACTACAAGAAGAATGTAAGATACTTTTTTCAATTGAAGGTTATATATCATAATAACTTACTGTATAATCGGATCGGATATTACTTGGAAACATTTTCATATGAAACTAATCAGATTTTCTTGTTTTAATATTCTCAATACATATCTGACTTCTAGATAACCCTGTACATTCCTCAAATTTGATCAACAAAGACTACCAATGAACTATTGCTATTAAAAACAAGCGGAGAGATCATCGATACAATCTTTTTTTTTTCCAAAAGAAGTTGGCATATCTGAGAAATTGATGGACCGAAAAATTGTCTTATGCCTGGGTATTCTTTACCACTTTCCTTTCGAGCGTACTAGATTCTATACCACTATCTTCATCTCCGCTATCTAATACACTCGCCTCCCCTTTCACGACTTCAATTTTCATGTGGCATAAATTAGAATGATCGTCCTTTGTCAAGTTTTTCTCGTTCGGCTTTCCTAATGAGTCTGCCTTCATAATGAACCTGTCCGACTCGTTTTGAGTTTCAACCTGAGGTAATTCTGGATAGATAGGTTTGTACGGCAAAGCTTCGAAGGATACGTTTCGGCTTTTTGAATCGTCAGGCGGAGTATCGACGTGCTGAACGAGGAACCTGCTTTTGCCAAAGGTGGTGAAAGTTGGTTTTTCCCTAACGACGACAGGTTCCGGAGCGGGTTCAATAACGAACATTCTTTCAGAACTGAAAGCACTCGGACTCGGTGGCAAATCTAATTTCAGTTTGTTCCTCGTGTGCCGCAAACCGCCAAGGACGTCTTTAGTTTTTAAATGTGAATGCTTTTTTCGGTTGACAGCGTCAGACGCTAGTTGTTTCAGTGTTGGCACAGAATCGACGGAGGCTGAATATTTGGAGTCTATTAGACTTCCAGGCGTTACGTCTTCGACACCACTATCAGGAGTGGCATGTTCCATGTTCCAGTTACTGTGTCCCGGGAAGAACTGCGAACTCAGATTGTGGCTATGGAAAGGTTGAGAAGACCCGGTGATGAAAAACTCTTGTGATTTGTCCCCATCAACATCATCTGCAATACAATATAAAAAATTATGACAAACATCAAACATTCAACTGGTTTGAATCATACTTAAAAAATATAAAACAATATGTCGAAATAAGCAGTAACGATAACAGAAAAATCAAATCAGAAACTACCACCATTAATATAGGCGTACCTCAAGGCTCCATACTCGGGCCTATACTATTTATTCTGTATACTAACGATTTACCATGCTAGATCAGAGACACCAACGTTGCAATGTAGGCAGATGACACGAATTTTCTGATAACTAGTCTAGATTCCCTAGATACAGAGGCAAAAGCCTCTGGTTTTACTGCTAATTTTCTGGTTCTGAACACAACCAAAACCAACTCCATAAATTTTCATCCCCGGTAACCTCAAATAAAACAGCTCAACAAAATTTTTAGGGCTATACCTAGAGGAGAACAAATGGGGAGTTCACTGCTCTATGCTAACATCTACTCTAGGTCAGAAATTTTGTCTTTTCAAAACTCTTAGAGAATTTTCAACTGACTCAATGACTATATCTGTCTATCATAGTGAAAAATATTAGATGTATGACCTTTTCTCATTATCTCAAACCATACAAACCACTTTTTAAACGCCTAGGCATTTTAACAGTAATCAACCTGTATATACTGTAAATAACTTGCTTTGCACATGATAGAAAGTACCAGGCCAACTGCCCAGATAATACATGTCCATGCCCCACAAGGAAAATACAAGAAATAATTCCAAACCATAATCTTCAAATAACGAGCCGAGTCCAACATTTATGGGAATCGAAGTGTACAACCAACTACCCCTCACTCTGAAATCACTATCAATATGTAACTTCAAATTAAAACTCAAAAACATGCTCACAATGACTGCCTTCTACAGGCTGAATGAATTTTTTAACGATCTTTGTCTAGTCTTGAAGTTATATAATTAATTTATTTATATGTATACACGCACTTTATACCACGTACTACCACTCACCAAATAAAGTAATCAGTTTTGTTATGAAGCTGTATTTATTTAGTAAAATTAGAATGGCTTTGAGTCATAATAAACCCCCGCAAGACAGTGGAGAGTCTCTATAGACCTACTTACTGCTTTTTTTCGATTTTTGTCAATTTAATTGTAAACGATGGTCAAAAATACAATTATTCTGAATGGGACTCTGCTGTGATGGTTTGGCCCGGTTGCAGAAAGCAAGTTTTCTAATTTTATTGAAGGGTTGTGATCCCATTGAACATTGTCCATCGAGAGGATACCTGAACAGAATATGGCTGTATAATGGACACCTTAACTGCAGGAAATTCACCAGAGAGACAGAGACAGCTTATCATGTTTCATGTGAGGAAACAGTGGATCACAGAAGCCAAATAATTTATGTACAACACAAAGTATGTCAAGAAGAATATGACAAACATCCAACAAGGAAACATATAAACTAGTGTCATGAATAAGATGGGAGGAAAATGGCAATCAGCCTACAGTGTTTACAGTAGACTTGGAAGAAATCGGCAAGTTAGACAGCTCCCAAGAAGCTGAAAAAAAAAAGGTTTTCTGTTAACCAGCTATTCAATACGAACGACAATCCCCAAAGGTCAAAAACACAGGTCAAATAATAAGTAGTGAGCACTCATCGTCCCAGAGCTAGGATCCAACCGAAATCAGAATAGCGATGATCATTGGAGGTGATTTCAATATTAATTTTTTGGAATATAGTAATGGCAGGGCACTCTTTAAGGATTTGCTGAGATGTTATGATATAGCAGTAACAATAAGGTCTCCAAATAAAGTGTCTGCAATTTCTAGTAATTGTATAGACAATATTTTCATAAACTCCAATATAAATGACTGGCGATCAGAAGTAAAAAATCTGAATCTGTCAGACCATTTCTCTCAACACTTGGCTTTCAATATTAAATATAACCTCAAATCTGCTCCTCAAGAATACAAGTATTCGCAAAAATTCCCAGAACAGAATATTCTTCAAGTTTCTGAATCAATTGGAAGATAACAATGGGAGAATATTTACAATGGAAATAATATCAATAACGCATGGAACAAATTTTTGAAAATCATCTGTGGTTTGATAGATTTCTGTTTCCCAATTGAAAAAATACCTATTAATAAAATAGCTGAAAAGAGACTTTGGTTTAACGAGGAACTTCTGCATCTAAAGCAGTAATTAACTCTTATTTTGAATTTAGCAACTTCTTACCCAATATATCATCAACCAAGACCAGAGCTATAGAAACGCTACTGCAATGCATTGTCAGAGGCTAAGAAAAGATATAATGATGATTTGATAATGAAAGCAAATAATAAATCAAAAACTGTATGGAAAATTATTAATAATTTGAAAGGACATTGTCAAAACAATATAACCATCAACATTCACAATGAAAATGGTAAACAGATGACTGTCCCGGAAATGGCTGAGCAGTTTAACATCAATTTCACTAGAGAACCATTTTCAGTATATCAGCATGATCTGAATTAATATGCCAGTGCCAAAAAAGTCATTTTTCTTAAAACCAGTTACACCTGCAGATGTTAAAATATTAATTGGTAATTTGAAATCTTCCAACTCAAGTGGATTTGATGAAATATCAAATAACCTACTAAAAAATCGTATGTAAGTTTATTTGAACTATTGGCTTTTCTCATCAATCTTTGTTACTCTTAAGGAATTTTCCCAGAATGTTTGAGGTTGGCTGTGGTTCTGCCTTAACACAAAAAAGGTTATTCTGATGATTTTTCCAATTATAGAACCATCAGTTTATTGTCAAGTCTCTCTAAACTCATTGAAATGGACATCACTAATCAACTCAGCATTCTTGTGAAGTCAGAGACTGTTATACAGAAATCAACATGGATTCTGGAAAAATATGAGCACAGAATCTGCTCTGTGTGATTTTCAAAAATATCTTTAGACAGTCTTGACAAGGGAAAATATGCTCTTGGTCTTTTCATTGACTTTTCATTATTATCATGAGTGGAATTCACTAACCAACAGGCACTGAGCCCATATCGTATTTTTGTTCAATGATTGTATTAAATCGTATGAGAATATGTATTTATAAAGAATGAAGAATATCAAGTTGTTAACGATTGTTACCTTGATGAAAAATGGTTTTCAATCTTTTTTTGGAATTAATTGGTGCATACTCTTCGAAAGGATCAGTTAGGGAGTTGTACAATTCCGCCGTATTGTAAGAGAAATTTCTGTTGACAGTTGAAAATCTATTGAATGAATTGTGAACTTTATATAGAACTGAAAGTGTTGCCAGCAGACCAAAAATTTATAATCAACTGATAATAATACATTTCTTTTCAATACCAACTAAATTTCCATATCGTGAATGACTAAAATTGAAATGGAGAGAAGGCATCATTGAGATTATCAAATAATTAGGGCATTCATAAAACTTACCTGGTACAAAGTCTGGAATACTTGTTAACTGATAAAGATTTTGACTATTTGATTTTCTGTTCGTTTGATTACTGTAGGTCGGAAATGTTTCGTTATCATCCATCGGCTGAGGCAAGAAAGGCTCACCATCAAATTCCCAATCTAAAATCAAATTTTATTTTATTCAGATCAAAATATAAACACTATTGTTGCGAGTACTCTCATTAGGTGTGGGATATTACCTGCGAATGACTTAAAGTCGGGCTGTGGTTTCCATAGATCATGACTTTGCAGCACAGGACTTTCCGGTTCTTTGGGATATTCATATATACAATGATATTTTTGCTTCTTGAACCATACTCCTTTTGTTTTTTTCTGAAAATCATAAAGACATAATACTAGTTGTTTTATCGAGTTCAATACAACTAACCTCTTCGCTCTTATTTACAATTTTCTCTGGTGACCTTAGGACTGATTTGCCAGGAATGGCGAACTTATCCCATGCTGATGGGACAAATTCTGGAGTTTCTCCTTCCTCATCACTAAAGGTACTACTTATATCACTCTCTTCATAAGCGTCCTCTGCAATTCCTTCCATTGGTTTGATATTCTCCATCTAATGTGGAAATATGGTTACTTTCACAAATAAAAAATAGTTGAATGACAAAGGAGGGTGGCCCAGAAGTACCCGGCCTATACAGCATACTTTTCAAGTTTGAAGACGCTGGGTTGTTTAGTATTTGTTTGGCAGCCATCAGTAGCAAATGTTTTCGGTGAATTAGTGAACATGTAGAAAATTGGTCATTGTTATGTGATACAATACTTTTATTTGAAATGCCTCACTCAGCCTAACCAATATGAAAGCTGAACTGGATTCAACTCTGGGTGAACCTAACCAATATGAAAGCTGAACTGGTTTTTACTCTAGGTGAGTCTTTTAGATCATTTACATGATATAAGACATGTCATAAATAAAAAAATGGTATAATATGCAAATCTTTAATATCTTGCATAGTTATGAACTATTGATTCATCTCTCAGATTGGGTACATTATTTTTCAGAGTTTTATATATATAGATTCACGGTAATGTTAGCATCTTGTTCTTACAGAAAGCAGGTCTACAGCTATCCCTGGGTGCAATATTACAGATAGTTCTAATTAATCTTTTCTGAACGAAAAAAAAAAAGTTTTGCCCCCACAGAAGAATCCCACATTAATAGATTATGAGCCATATGTGAGTAAGCCAATGAATAGTAAACAGTCCTGACACCATCTAAACTAAGCACGTCTTTGATCTGTCGTATTGCAAATATTGTTTGATTCAATTTTTTGCTGACATGATCGATATGGGGCTCCCAAGACAAGGTTTTATCTATAAACATACCAAGGAGTTTATCTGTTTCCGAAAGTTGGATGTTGTTAAGTTTCACTGTTTTCCTTAACGCGAAGCCTAAATGAACTATTTTACTTTCATTCAATTTTAGTTGATTTCTATCACACCAAGAAATCATGTCCTCCATGACTAACTTAATGTTGTTTTCTAGCTCCTCCGCAGTATTTCGGGAAACTGTTTGCAGTGTCATCTGCGAATAGGATAATGAAACCTTGTTTTATATACTTTGGAAGATCATTTATATGGACAGAGAAAATCAGTGGGCCTAAAATGGACCCCTGTGGCATCCCAATGATAATATCTTGAATATCAGATACTGCATTATTCACAGTCACTACCAATTTACTATCTCCCATGAAAGATTTTATCCATTCCAGAAGGAACCCTCTAATGCCAATGTTATATAACTTACTAACAATTATGTCACTATTTATTGAATCAAAAGCCTTGGCCAAGTCAAATGGTATTGAAACTACGTACTTCCCCTTATCGATTTCATTGTAAATAAACTCGAATTTTCTAGCAATAGCAGTCTCAACTGATCTAGCTTTTCTAAAACCAAGTTGATGATCGGGTAGAATCTTGTATTTTTTGAGAAACACAATAATTCTATTTGCTACTATTTCTTCAATAAGTTTAGATGGAATACTCAGTAATGATATTTGGCGATAGTTATCTATATCTTCATGTGAACCCTTTTTATGAATAGGAATAACTTTGGCTGTTTTGACCAAAATTAACGAATTAAAGTTTCAATTGCTACGGCATGCAACTTATTCGCCAGATTTTTGACCCCTTCGGATTATTTTCTGTTCCTAAACTTGAAAAGAAGGCTCAGTGGTCAAAGATTTTCCAACGATGAAGGAGTGATGTGGGTAGTTTCTTAATATAAAAACGGTATAGAACTTATTGAACGTCGGTGGGAAAAGTGTATAGAGCTGCAAGAAGATTATGTTGAAAAATAAATATTCTGCAAAATTTTTATGTTTTCTTTGTTGGGCCGAGCAATTCTGGGACCACTCTTGTATAACAAAGGTTAAACCACCTTACTCACCAAATCTTGTGGAGCAGCTGTTAAGGCTTTCAGGGACTCCTCATGCTCACCTTCCTAGGTTATACAAACACAATAATTATTCACAAAAGCAAACAGCATTCATTCATAAACATGTGTGCAAAATTATCAGATTAAATAAATTAAAACACCATGAATTAGATAAGGTTTTTTTTAGTGGAGTGATCTTAAATTAGATCTGAAAATTGTCACTATGTGGAATTATTACATTCAACATAAAATTTAGTGTTGATTTAGAGTAATCTACTCATATGTTTCGTTTTAGTAACAACAGAGAAAGTGTATGTGGGGGTTGGTAGAGCATATAGTTTATGATAATAATATCTAATTTGATTCACAAATTTTCAACAAGTAGTTTTTGAGAAGATGCATAGACACTGCGAGATAATACTTAAAACACTCTGAGAGGTCGCAACATTACATTCATTTGGAAAATGTGTCTAAGTGGATCAACAGTTATTACTTTCAAAAAACATTCCATTTCGCAAATCACATGCAAATTATTGTCACAGAAGAAAAGTTTCTACGAAAAAACAATGAAATTTCTCGGTCTTTCTCTAGTTACAAAAATGACATGAAATACTCATATAGTGTGTTCGAAACTAAGCACAAGGTCTTTAATCAAATTGTCCAATGTTCACGGGTTTATTAGCCGTAGTCTGCAGGTTTTGATAACTGACGTTTTGTTTCTACTGCAGCAGACATTATCAAAGGCTATGCGGCATCGGTAGAAGTCATCTACTTTGCTGTGATCCGCAACAAGTTCCAGTTTAGAAAGAACCACAACTACATGGTATTGGGTATACTCCTGGTGTACTTGATGGATCTCTGGGATCTTTAATTCCCCATGAAGGCATTTTTTGGTGATTGTTTCTCAGTGAGACTCTCAGGTTCACAGATGCATCGCTCCCCTCTCAATTAACGTTATGACTACTCCTCTTTTCTCTCATGGACGCTGTTTTGAGTTTATTCTAATAATATTTAAATCATATTTAAATGGTAGAAGTCATGTTGTTAGACTGAATGAGGTTCTGAGTAGTTACCGTCAAATATATCAATGTGTGCCTCAAGGATCCGTATTGGGACCTTTATTGTTAAATATATTTGTAAATGATATAATCAGTCTAATGGAAAGAAACCACGATATAAAAATAGTGTGTTATGCAGACGATACCAATTTACTAATTTTTGAAAAAAGCATAGACATGCTACTGAGTAAAACTGAGAAGTATTTGCTACAGCATACAGTATATGAAAGACCACTGCAGCAAAAATGTCTTGCTTACGCTGTACTTTGCACATTTCCACTCCCACATGAAGTATGTTATACTGAATTGGGGAAATAGTGCCGGTATGAATCGGATCTTCATTCTTCAAAAATATGCAACTCGAATAATGGAAAGTATTGATATGAGAACTAGTTGTCGTCAATACTTTATAACACTTGGTGTATTAACAGTTTACAGTTTACTGGAAGCTTGCACTTGTATCTATAAGAATAAAAATAAGTTTGCAATAGATAACAATTATTGCTATAACACCCGTCATAGAAATCTCTTGCAGCCTGATTGTCATCGCACATCTCTGTACAAAAGAAATGTTCATTGAATTGATTATAAGCTCTATAATCTGTTTGAAAAAATATATTCTTGATGATCATCTAAAATCATCCCCCAATGTTTATATTTTTAAATCAAGGCTGAAAAATATCCTACTTCGTAAGTGTTGTTATTCCATAAACGATTTCTTTTTATGATAATGATTTTTTATTTTTAAAGTATATTATTGATGTTTGTTATATATACATGTTTACGTAAATTTGTAATTGTTGACATGTCCTTGTTCAATGTAACTGAATTATTGACGTAATCATTTATACAGTGTCAACATTGAAGTGCGTACCATATGGGAAACTTTTTTTTCGAAAAGTTTCAATGAAGTTTAACTTCAGCACTTGTTTGTGCTTTGAATTTAACTTAAAATGATGCGGCCAACTGCGACTCACTGACGTTCTATGTTGTATATAGGTAGGCAATAGAAATAGATTTATTAGAAATTTATAAACAGAAAATTTCAATAGCAAGGAAGAGGGAATTAACATAAATAAAACCTGGCTAACTGTCCATAATTACACATAAAGTCATTTAATCCAACCAATAGAACCGAAGTTACCCCCACCACCAATGAAACCAATGATGCAGTATCTGCACTTCGTCTGTTGCTTCATCGCTTTTGATAATGAAAACCTGCAGACCATGGCCAACAAACCCGAAGAATAGTTCTGAGATACATCTCAGGTTGTGAAAGTGTACACTCGTTATTATTATTATCATAGAAATGTGGTGTGATCAGATTGTAGTTTTAGATTACCTTACAATTTCAATTTTGATAAATTAAATAGGTCAGAGGACAAAACCTTGGGCTACGCGAAACGAAATGTTGCTTCTTGAAGATTTCAAGTCCTCCATATAAACAAATTGTTGTCTACCTACTGAATAATTTCAAGACCACTTGCAAACTTTTCCTCTGATTGACATTTATCATTCATTACAGCAATTATTCAAGCTGAGAAAGAATAGATATGTGTTGAATTTTGAAATTATCAGAATTTTTCTTAGCTATTGAATTCAAATCAGTTAAAAGTTAGTAATATTCTACTTCACGTTTTTGGAAAATCCAGAGTAAGCACTTACCTTCCAAATGAATTCTCCACTTGAACTTGATCTGGAATCTGAACCGCTGTCCCATTCTTGTTCTTCGCAGTTATTTTCACTGAAAGATGTCGACATCAACTGACTATCTGATGGTCCACTGAACCTGATGTCGGTCAGCACGCCAAAAATGTTACTGTCATTGTCACTGTTTGTATCATCCTCATTGTATCTGGGTACGTCCATGATCTCATTCTCTTTGTCTGAATGATTGTACTCTAAGCTATTTTTGGTATTCTCCATATTCACGATATTTACATACTCATTGTAAGGGTCGGTTTCATCGTTTATGTTTTCATAAATGTCTTCGGTGTTTGTTGCCTCGAGATCCGTATCGCCAATATTTTGGGTGGGTTTTTCAGTATTTTCAACTGCACAATTTGCATAGTCAGGTTCTCCATCTCCCTGACCTAACTCCAAGAAATTAACAGGTTTGAGTTCTTTGTCCATCACATTGACATATTCAGGAATTCTGCAGTTATTGTAACAAGGCTCCTGATCAGAATCCTCCCTAAGAGGTAATATTACCTCTTGAACAGTTTGGACAGAAGATTTTAATTCTCCAATATTTACATAGGTAGGTTGCTCTGTCCTTTCATTATGAGGTTCTTCATTTCTCAGCTGGATCAAGTTGGTATTTTCTTCTCTCATCAGACTCATAGATTCAGATATTTGAGGTTGTGTAATACCTTCAACTTTAATATTCTCATATTGAAGTCTTTCATCTGGAATCTCTTTCACAGTCAATGATGGATCAGTACCCTGAATGGGTTTTTCTAGAATGTCGCTTTCCAAATTATCTACAGATTCAGGTACAGGTACTTTCTCACTAGAAACAACTGGATGGTTTTTGGAATGGTGTTCAACAACCATAGTCCTATTTGAAGGGAAATCTGTTTTTGACAAGCAATCGTTAGAAAATTCTTGGTCTAAAGTTTTGGCACATTCAGGTACAGTATTTGGCCTTTTTTCTTCATCCACTTCAACGCCACATACGGCGGTTTCTACTAATATGTTATCGCGACTTTTCTCTGACGACTCTCTGTTTTCAGTATTCAAATTTTCCGCCTCACCACTTTCTGTTTCGCCTTCAAGTACTAATGACGGGCTTAACGATTTAACTTTATCAAAACTTAGCAGAGATGCTGGCAATTGTTTCCAAGGGTTGTCTTCAGGGGAAGGTAATGGGACATGGTGAGTTTTAGCGGCATCAGACTGACTGATATCAAGGTGAAGGTTTGATTTTTCAGGGGTCAAGCTATTCTTCAAAGCATGTTTTCTTTCTTCAACCAGGAAATCATTTATGATATTCAAACTGGATGAATGAGGTGTGGTTTCTTCCAACGGCGCAATGTTTGGTGTGGTTTCTTCCAACGGTGCAACGTTTGCGATTTCTTTTGGCTCATCGATATCTGCTTTTTCAACAATAAAAGTTTTGTCAGTACTTTCAGCAACATTATTCGATTCTACTTCAGCAACCACCATATTTAAATCGTCAAAAACATGCACTTCGCTGATATACTTTTCGGGTTCTGTCGTGCCGCAGTTCAATTCCTCTAGATTGAAAAGAGTATCGTTAGAACAGCAGGAATCTTGGCTAGGTGTGTGGCGATGGTGGGGCCCCCGGAAATGACTTTCCAGAGTAACAGCGGATTGACTGTCTGTATCTGGCGCTAGTGTATCAGATAGACAACGATCCGACCAATCGCTATCTTCGTTTTCCCGTTCTTGCCTGACAAATAAAAATCATGATTCAACTTTCAATGATATTTTATAATCACTAATATGCTCAAAAAGTTCGGCATACTTATAGGGGGCAAGATAAAGTATTTATTACTGATGTAATGATATTTTTGAATGATTTATTCATGACTTTTGAACATAATGATTTTTATGAATCTGTTCAAAGTTAGGCTATGTGTTTTGTTGATAATTTGAAATGAAAATTATGCCATGCACATATATTATTTTTCAACTCACTTTAGGTATTCCATTCCAGATTGTTCTTCAACATAACTTTCTTCAGGTATCGGCGACAGAGGTGTGTTGTAAACATTGTACCTAAGAAACACTTCGTTTCGTTCACTGGAGTCAAACTCATCATCTTTCATTCTGTCTGATGTCGACCCCTGTAGATCAAAGTATATTGAAATTATGTAAATTTTTAACAGTTTTTCAATTCTCACTATTTGTTGATAACAATCAATCTACCGATCAATCAATCCATCAATACGTTATATTTTACTTTCTGCATATAACAAATAAATAGTTTATTGTTCAAGATATAATCTTATTGACAAAGCTTATTATGAAAAATAAAATAAGTACAAACAGAAACATACATACATACACTGTCTGTTAAAAAAATAAGGTAAATTTTCAGTTTTCACAGAATATATTTATCTATTCATCTGTACGTCTGTTTAAATCTGTTTTTCCGTTAACCAGCTGTCGCACCCCTACAAACGACAACCCTCAGAAGTCGAAACTTGTGCGAGCTAAGGACTATCTTCCTTAGTCCTTAGCAATTTTAGAATGACTTCGCTGCTACATGTTTCATGCCCATAATTTCCGAAAAATTGCATGGTATGAGCCAAACGATACGCCGACATCCTCAGCAGCTCCTCTAATAGTGAATCAACGATTCTCCATGACAATTTTCTTCATTTTCTCATCGGTTGTTGATGTGCTGGGGCATCCAGGGCGAGCATCGTCATTCACATCTTCTCGACCTTCTGAGAAAAGCTTCTACATCTTGTAAACATTTTTATGACTCAGAATACAATCACCATATGCCACTGTCAATCTTTCAAGTGTTTTTGAGCACTTAAATCTATTTTTTACACAAAATTTGATGCAAATTCTTTGATCCATTTTTTTTCGATGGCAGAAAATCACCGAACACGCAAAATATTTCTAACTATTATGACTCTCACCAACAAACTAAACATCTGAAACTGTGACCATATGTTCGAGACGAGACAATTGAATATATGTAGTCCGTGAAATTAGAATATTCGCCTTTTTTCAACAGCCCATGAATAATGGTAGGTGTAATTTGTTATAATTGGATGTGAAAATAATGTCAGAACCACATCAATATTTACAGGGGTGGGCAAAGAAACTGGCTTTCTCTATCAATCTTTATCTTCAAGTTAACCTCTTAAAATACGGGTACTTGTTGATGGCTCCATAATCCAATTTTTCGAATTTTATGGTTGACTTTATGTTGCAAAACTTCTCAATGAAGCTTCTAAAAACTTATTTTTCAATGCCGTTGTAATGCAATATTTTGTTTATCCTTGGAACCCTAGCTTGATTATATGTGTACATTTAATATTATCAACATAAATTGATAGATGTAGCCGTTACTACGTGGTAGGAGATCATAATGAAAAGAAAAAAGAAAATTTCTATGTTTTTTACCACTTTTATTTGCAACTAACGTTACTGCAGTTTCGTCGTATATGGACATTCTCAAACTTATACAATAAACTAACAATGATTCATTACATTCGCCAATATATACCATTCAGGTACTTGATTGAGTACCTGAATTTACAGTTCACAACGCGGCTGTGCCAATTTAAAAACCGGAGAGTAAATTAAATCGATTTGATCATTTAACAGTTTGCACCCGCAATGTTTATGCTTGTGAATTTCCAAGGATTCTAAATAATTGAGTTGCAACCCTTCCTTGCATAATGCAGAATTTCCGTATCGTTTAGATTCGGAAACTTGTGGTTGCATGCCAAGGAATGGTTTGAAAACGTCTTTGGCATTGAAAAGGAAATGAGATAACCTGGCATGTGGTCTGAATCCTACTTCCACATTGTTTTTTCTGAAGAAACCTGCGATTATTTTTGTTCTTTTTCCAAAATATATTAGCGTTACAAATTTCTTGATTTCTGGTTGTTTGACCTGAGGATATATTAATCTGTAAGTGAATTTCCTGCTTTGTTTCCTAACTAACTTCTGGATAGTATCTGCATTGAAACCATTATTATGACCTATCTGTGTAATTGTATCAATTTCCCTAGCTAGATTGTCTGCAGACAAAGGCAGTGAGAATGCTCTGTGCAACATTGAATTGTAGGCTGCTAATTTATGACTGTCTGGATGGAAAGAATCGCTTGGGATGGTGATGTCTGTATAGCTTGGTTTTCTGAAAACATTGAACTCGAATTTATTCTGATTGTGTGTAATGGCCAGGTCTAAGAAATTTATCTGTTTCTCTATCTCTGTTTCGAGTGTGAACTGAATGTTGCTATTGAGATTGTTCATGAATGTCATAAATTGGTTCAGCTGTCGTGTAGTACCTCTGAAACAGGCAAGAATATCGTCTACATATCTGTACCAAAAATGAATATTTTTTTTTACCCAGGTCGGAGTTTACTATAGTGGTAAACCTGAATCCTGTTTATAGAATTTGTTGTTGAACTGTAGGTGGCTCTGATTCAGGCACACATTGAAAGCTGTTGAAACTTCAAAGGAAGTGATATGGTCTACTTTGGCTTGATCTAATATGTCTAAAATGAGGGGCTTGTACGGTATGTTGGAGAACATACTCTTTACATTGAATGAAACTAAAATTGAATTATGTGGCGTGGTTTGGTTCCTTATGTTTTCTACTAAAGTCAGTGAATTTTTAATGCTGTGAGGTGGGATGAAATTGGTAATATTTTTGAACAACTTGTTAAGACGTATTCCTAGTTCTTTTACCGGACTATTTATATACGAAACTACCAGTCTTATGGGGTTATCCTCTTTATGTGTTTTTATCAGGCCATACAGTTTAGGGCAAGAGGGGTTCATGTTGGTGATTCTCCGTTTCTCTGATTCCGTGAAAATGCTTTTAGTATCTAAGAGGAAATTTTTCAGTTCATTTTGACTATTTTTCGTCGGATCTTTCTTGATGACAGTGAGGTTTTCATCTCGAATGACTGACTCAATTTTCTGAACATATGCTTCTCGTTCAAGGATAACTATGGCATTCGATTTATCTGCTTTCGTGAAAACAAGATCATTATTTCTTATTTTTTGTTGTATAGTTTTTATTATGCCGGTTTCTTTACTGTTTGATAAAGAGAATGGATGGTTCTGAATTACTTCATTTTTCTTGTATGCCCCTATTATCTGTTTGTTTCAATGCAATAGCTGTATCTGTTATCAATGTATCCAAACTATTTTTATTAATTATTGTTGGTGTATATTTCGGCCCCTTGGACATTGTTGAAATTTCCTCTTTGTTAAATTCTACTTTGGTCAAGTTAATGATTATTTCGCTGAACTGGATATCTGGTTCAACTGATTCACTGTGTATATGTTGTTGTTTCTGTGTTAGTGCCCTAAGTTTCTTGAGTTGAGTTTGGTACTTCCGGTATATGAAATCACTAATTGTAAACCTAACTTGAGTCATAAAAAATGTCAAATTCTATCTGGTGAAGTTCATAATAATAAAAATAATAATATCGTCTTTATCTTCTAATACATTTAAAGCAAATTAATCATGTACAGTTCATTTATTATGAGAAGATAAAAGGCGAAGTTCAATTTACATGATGACAAGTCATCATTCAATTGCTCTTCCACTCAACCTCATTCCTTAAGTTCCGAGTGTAATATCTTCAAATAATGTTGCAGGATATTCCTTTTTGAGAACAGTGTCCTGTACTCTTCTTTTAGCCGATCACTTGTGCCTTCATTGTCGCCTTCTCCGCTGCTGGTGTTTTTGTCCTGGTCCTGATGATATTGATATTAGATCAAGCCAAAGTAGATCATATCACTTCCTTTGAAGTTTCAACAGCTTTCGATGTGTGCCTGAATCAGAGCTACCTACAGTTCAACAACAAATTCTATAAACAGGATTCAGGTTTACCAACGGGCTCACCCCTTAGTCCACTTTTAGCAGACATATTTATGAACAACTTGGAGACCACTATAGTAAACTCCGACCTGGGTAAAAAACATATTCATTTTTGGTACAGTTATGTAGACGATATTCTTGCCTGTTTCAGAGGTACTACATGACAGCTGTACCAATTTATGACATTCATGAACAATCTCAATAGCAACATTCAGTTCACACTCGAAACAGAGATAGGGAAACAGATAAATTTCTTAGACCTGGCATTTGACACAATCAGAATAAATTCGAGTTCAATGTTTTCAGAAAAATCTGGAGTTGATAAGCTTAAGTGTCCGGAGTGTAATAGTGTTTATGCGGGACAATGCAGACGAAATTTCCAAAAACGGTATGCTGAACATGAAAGGTCCTTCAGACTAGGAAAAAATGATTTGACGTTTTCAAATCATTCTTTTGCATGCAACCACAAGTTTCCGAATCTAAACGATACGGAAATTCTGCACTATGCAAGGAAGGGTTGCAAACTCAATTATTTAGAATCCTAGGAAATTCACAAGCATAAACATTGCGGGTGCAACCTGTTAAATGACCAAATCGATTTAATTTACTCTCCGGTTTTCAAATTGGCACATCCGCATTGTGAACTGTAAATTCGGGTACTCAATCAAGTACCTGAATGGTATATATTGGCGAATGTAATGAATCATTGTTAGTTTATTGTATAAGTTTGAGAATGTCCATATAGGACGACACTGCAGTAACGTTAGTGTTTCTTTTTTCAATATCATCAACATGTTTGATATCATCAATAATTATGTTTGAACCAAAACCATTTATGTGCTATAAATACCTAGCTTGGGATATATTTGAAGTTGACATTTCATTTCTGAATTATTTCCAACGTTTAAAAAAATATTTTACAAACCTGAGCATGTGGCAATTTGCTTAAAAGTTCATTCCTAATGGCCGACATTATTTCATCATCTATACCAAAACCAACATAACTTTCTGTTTGCGAGTTCTGAATTTGCATTTCTCCAATGGGATCATCATTGGTCGTTTGTGGATGAAGAAACCATCCGCCTCCATTTTCCCAACTCCCAACATTTTGGTCTGAAAATAACATATACAAAACAAATAGAAAGTAATAAATCTTATAACCATCCACGAAGTGTTTACTGTCCTTTGAAAATACACAACTATCAATTCGAATTTAATTGATTGAAAATGAATGTACTTAATCTACACTACCTAGGTAGATTGTAGATCCAAAATAGGAAGGTCTATTCACCTCGATTTCTTTTAAAACTAACTTCCTAAGGAAGACGATCAATCCGTTTGGTGAGTGATCTTTCACAGAAACCAAACACACACACCATCGTACCAAACAATGTTCAAACTGTTACTCCTTGTACTCATATTTATAAGTAATCTTATAAATATTTTCCTGGCATTCGCCATAAGTACGTACTGGAATTGATTTCAAAATTTGTGGATACGGGTTCGGTAATGGATAAAAAAAGGGCAGCCATTGGAATTGTGAATGATGAAGGAGCAGCTGTGGCGGTATTGGGACATGTCCAACTTATGCCAAACACGCAATTTGTACGACAACTTTCTGCAGTTTCCGGTATTAGTCAATCTAACGTTTTCAGAATTTTACATAGACACAAGTTCAAATAACTCCAATTATGCTGAACCAAGTCAGAGACGATTTTCAGTCAAGATTGTATTATTGTATGGAAGTCAATGGAGGACAATTTGAACATTTGATTTAAACACGCAGAATTGATTTCTTTGATTGTAAGCATGATGATAAAACAATTAAATTTTTTCAAGAATGTGATTTTTTGAAGATTGTTTAAGTTTGTGAAAAGGGTTTAATGAAAATGAGCTTGTACATGTAAAAATAACCAAATTATTCAAGGTGGCTCAATCGAGTTGCAGAATTGATTTTTGGCAAAAACGGTTCATCAAATTTACGTTTTTCAGATACCGTCGTAAAGAGGCTTCCAAGACCTTTCAAACAAAGTATCACTCAACCCCTCTCCACTATTCAAATTTGAGGGGTTGAAGAGACCCCTATTAGGGGGTTGCTCGTTCAAGCCTAAAATATAGGTCAAAATATGTCCCTCAAACAAAATCATTCGATGTGTTTCGGGAAATTTTTCCACTCACTATGAGATAAGAAATATACGGGGTGGCTCGTCTGAGATGGAACACCCTTATAATATATAATTATGATTTGCCAGGAAATATAAAAATTTTCTCCTATCATACAAAGCTTCGTGAGTTTGATGCTTGGAAACATGCAATCTATCAGTCATTGTGCCAAAAAAAAACAAAAATTTTGTAAATGATAATCATGTACAAATTAGGTCGTTTCAAAAGTTTTATTCCTTTCAATGTCATGTGTTTTAGTAGCTCCATATCTCAATAAATACTGTGTCACGGTCGATAGTGAATTTTGATAACTCTATACGATGATGCTTAACATTTTTTCCAAATTTCAATTTTTTGCATCTTTTCAGCTTATCAGTTAAGATGTCGTTGAGCGATTTTCGGCCAACTTTTTTCTACAAATTCAAATTGAACCAAAGCGCTGCCGAAACGCACTGTTTGACGTAGGTTTGCGACGGTTTAAAACGTATTGGACAGGTCAAAACGCTGGAAAAGTGGGTACCGTTTCGAAGTTTGTTCTTCTTTACTTTTGCGCAACCAAAACGATCATTTTTTGGATCGGCTAGTCACGTGTGATGAAAAGTGAATCCTCTACGACAACAGGAGACCTTCAGGACAGTGGTTGGACTCCGAAGAGCCACCCAGGTACTTCCCAAAGGCGAAAACCCACAAAAAACACTATGGGTACTGTATGGTGGTCAATGGCTGGTGGTCACAGCAGAGTCCTATTGTGAGGAAATCGAGACGAAATGTACCGAAAATTGCTACAGCGGCAGCCAGCACTGGTCAACAGAAGAGGTCCGATCATGCTCCAAGACAACGGCCGTCCGCACGTTTCACAAATCACCGCCCGAAAATTAAACGAATTGAGCGTCGAAGTTCTGCCTCAGCCACCATACTCCCCAGACCTCTCACCAATCGACTACCATCTTTTCATGCACTTTGATAACTTTGCCAATCAGGACCAGGCAAAAATGGCCTTCGTCAACTTCATCGAATACCGAGCACCCAGTTTTTATGCTGACAAAATTCATCAACTTGTGTGACTTGAATAAGTATTCACTGATGTATTATAGTTCAAAGTAGACTCATAAAAACGGATAAAACTTTTGAAACAATCTGATGATACTGAAACGTAACACTTAGTGGGAAATAAATCATTAGTGAAAAATACTAAATTGAAGCAAGCTTTACCATTACTATTCGATGACTCCTTGACGAAAGTATTGTTTCCTGCTTCGCTAGTACTGGGCTTTTCATCTATTACGAAAGTTTTCTCTGTCTTCTCATCCATAACATATGTTGCATTTGGTTCAGTGCGAACTTCAGTTGTTGTCTCACCATCCTTTTCATTATTTTTGTGTAATACAACAGTATGATTCAAAAGAACCTCATTCGCATGATCACTTTCTCTGTTGGAAATTTCTTCATTGTCAACAAAGAGAAGGCTTTTTGGTTCTGAAGAAAAGCTATCAAACAAATTTTCGTTAACGTTATTTTGATGGTCGAATGTTGATCCCAGAAAGTTGTCCCAAGTTTCCAAAGAATAATTTAAATCTTTATTCGGAGAAAAATTTTCCAAGCGAGAAAATTCCATTGAAAAATCTGCGTCCAGCTCACCGTTTTCCTTTGGATCTCCAAACAAGTTTATGCTCGAAAACGTATCTTCGACTGGGAGCGAAATTTCTCTTTTCTTAAATGGAGTGCTGGCAAAGACAACAGAATGCGTTAAGGAATTTGGCATAGCTTCCTCTTGGTTCGTACTGAGATCAAAGTTCACACATTTTGTATGAAGATCTTGAGTTCTGTCATTTTCTTCAATTTTATCACAGCTGTGATCATTTTTAATATCCGGTGCATCTTCTGTTTCTGAAGATGAAGCTTCAGTTTCACTCTGCTTCACATTTCTGGATAACTCTTCTTCCAGATTCGTATATTCTTTCCCTTTTACTGGAGAATATGCATCATATCTATTTATTTCATCTAATGTATGAACTTTTTTGTTGTCTTCCAATTCAATATGGATATTTTCCGTACAGGTTTCAACAAGATTTTCAACAGCTTCAAGTGGTTCCCTGGTTTCATTTATACTTTCTGGTTTACCAGTGTCCTTTTCCAAATTAGCATGTTCATAGAGTACTTCCACATCCTCAATTTCTTTCACTTTGTGAATAACATTTTCATTACAGGTTTCCACTACTCTAACAGGTTCACATTCCTCTGCACAGCAAGTAGTAGAATCAGGTACTGATTGACTTGGATTAACATCATTGATAACTTCTGAACATTCTACATTTCTCTCATCCAAACGGCCAATTTCCTCTACTTCTTTTTGTTTATAATTGATATTTTCATTACAAGTCTCCACAAAAGTTTCACAAGTTTGATTTGGTTCTAAAATTTCACCATAAAGTTTTTCATTGCAGTCATCTTCAATACTTAATGAAAGGTTTTCTTTCAAATGAACATTTTCACTAATAAATTGCATATTTTCATTTCTATTGGCTACCTGATTCATATTGGGAAATTCTTTCACTTCGTGAGTACTATTTTCATTACAAGTAACAATATTTTCAATAGTTTTACCAAAATCATCATTATCAAATGTGGTGCTAGACATTTCAGTACAATCAACATCCTTCCTTGACATTTTTAGATCGATTTCGGCATCACTTTCTAGCTCTTCACTTTCTTTATCTAATGTTTGGATTCCTTCTACTTCCTTCAGTTTATAATCAACATTTTCATTATGGGCTTCTACAAGCGTTTCAGTGGTTTCACTTTGCTTTTCAACGAGTTTGTCAAGTTTCTCAGTACAGTCGTCGAATGGCTTTGTATGTTTTACAGGTTCATATTCACCAATGATATTTCCAATACTTTCATTTCCCTCTTTTATTTCATTCAGTGTACTCATATTTTCAATTTCTTTCGACTTGTAAATGACATTTTCATTAGAGGTTTCTACAACATTTTTACACTCCTCTTCGGAATTGGTGATATCAGATTTCAATAGTTTTGGCGTAATTGATTTTGAAGGGACTTCTGTGTTACCTTCACTGCCTTCGTTCTCCTCTTCCAATGTGCTTGCTTCCATCAGTTTATGACCAACACTTACATTAGTAGCTTCTAATAAAGATTCAGCAAGCTCATTAGGCTCTCCGATGATGTCATCAAGTTGCTGAGTGTGTTTATCATCTGTACTCAACTGGTCTGTTTGTTTCATAGAGATATATTCATCACTAACAATATCTCCATTTTCTTCTTCGGTTTCATTCTGAAGTTTTTCAGACATTGTTGTGCTATTTTTAGATGTCTCAATAACATTTTCAACATTTTCACCCAATCGTACAGAACCCTCAAGTTTTTCAACGGAGTTAACACCATCTCTAGTCTGCCATTCCTCTGAAATAATGTCTTCGCCTATATTTCCCCCGTCAAGTGTGTTTATTTTTGAGGTTTCCTTTGATCCATTATAAATATTGTCATTACATCCTACTCCTAATGTTGAATCTTTTTCGTGGGTGGAATCTTCCAATTTTTTTGTCTGATAAATATTCGTCTGTAACTGTTCAGTTTGTGTGACACCAACATTTTCTTTGGTGTTGTCTTCATAGGCTGCATTCTCTTCGATTACCTCTCTTAGTGAGTTAGCATCAATTTTTTCAGAATTGCTTTCAACATTTTCAGTATTGGTGTCCACTAAACATTCAACTGTTTCAAACTGTTCCTCATCTGCATTTTCCAAAGGAATATTTGAACCAAGAGTTAGAGGTACTTCCGAATTTTCTGGCACAAGGTAACTGGTTACAAGATCTGATGACTCAATGTCATTACATATAATATCAATACCATCCTCCAAACTGTCAATTAGATTCAACTCCGTTTTATTTTGATAGCTCTCCGGCAACTTTTGCCAGGTTCCATTTGACTCGGCATCTTCTTGGCTAGAATCGGAACCTTTCCTAACCAAGTCCATCTTTAAATTCGACTCAGTGTCATTTATTTTTGAAGAATCCCATGGATCTTCACTAGATATGTTTTCTAATTTATCACATACTTCGTATTCATGAAAATTATCAGGCGTTTTGATTATCTTCGCGGAACTTTTCAAGTCCCTTTCTTCAGATTTCAAACGAATGTCTGAGACCTTATCAAAGTTTATGATTTCAGTTAACTTAGTATTTACATTCAAAGGACTGTACTTATCTATGGTAACGTTAAACACATTGAAAACTTGACCGGCAGGTTTGATTTCTGTTGGGCTGTTCAAGTCCTGTATCAAACGTGAAGAGTTTGTAACAGGTGAATTATTGATGTTAGACTGATTGCCCATTACGTTCTCATCAACTCTAAAACTATTATGACTAATATTATCAGGTACAAAAAGAAGACTGTCTTTACGTTCATCCTGCAACTTCTTCAACTCTTCTTGGAAAGTATCTTTTATACTTAATAGATTGCCTTCACTTCCGAAGGTTACGTTTCCAGCGTCAGGATTATTTGAAGGAGCTAACCTCACATTTTTATAGTTATTTACTTTGTATTCTAAACTGGGCAAGGGGGTTTCCGATTCCGATTCGGAGTAATCTACGTGAGTGAGGATCATCAGATCAGCAACAGATCTCGATTTTAATCGAACCTTCTCCGTGTATGCACCCCTTTCTACTTTATTCCGCCAATTCTCATCTTCCGTTTCACTTCCGCTACTAGTTCTCTGGTACAATTTGCTATCACGAAGGTTATTTTCCAAACCTACCAGTTCACTAGGTTTAGATTTGTTTGTAGTACTCTCTTGGTCGCTGGAATCCGAATTGAAAATCCTTTCGGAAGTCAAAGATTCTTCGTTGGCACTGGAAAACCCCGTATTTCTTAGTTCGTCCTCTACAAACAGTATATGCGATCCTCCATTTTCTACCAACAAGTCTTCAAAAGAGCCGTGTAGATTGTGAAGGCTGGCGGACAGAGACTTTCTGATCTTCGTTTCGGGATAATGCATGTCGATGGAAACCGAATCAGAAACATGATCAGTTTTGACGATGGAATTTGGCTTGAACGATTCCCATCTCTCGTCGAAATCATCCGAAGACAGAAGACTTTGTGATGCGTTCGGGTTAGTGTTTCGATGAACTTGTAACAAGTCTGCCAACATTAAATCGATTTGGGTTAGCGTAGGCCTGGAATCTGCATTTGTCCAGCACAACTGCATCAAACGAAATCTGAAAATGAATAAAACTTTATTAATTTATCGAATGGAAAGAACCATAATTTTAGTCCAAATTAACTAAATATGTTCAAAAACGTCAACAGCTGGAATTACTCAAAGTTAGTTATACTAAATTAATACCCTTTTATATAACTTTGAAAGACGATTTACTCAAAATCTTTGCAAAAACTTTCAAGACTTTGTCACTCGAAAAGACACACCTAGCTGATTTTGTTACAATGGTAGTTCGTAAAAACATTCATACAACTAATTAATTTTAATGATAAGATCAGATGCGGTTCTTCTACTGATTTTTGCATTTTTAAAGCAGTGCTAGTGAAAATGTTGAGAAAGTTGTGATATTTTATTAATCGACATCACCAATTTGACAACAAAAGATTAAAATGTGTAAAGCGGGATCAGCTTTTTCAATCCTAGTCACGGTTTACGCGAAAATCAGGAATATTTCGACAGAATGTTTATTTTTTAGGTAACACTGGTAAACACACAGTTTGATGGCGGAATTTTTATTACTGTTTCTTGGTAATTTGGGTCAGATTTGCTCCATTAGATCGTTTTATGAAAATACGACCACAGATCACATTTCTAACATATAGGGTAATTTAACGCAGCACTACCTACATATACAGGGTCCTGCAACAGTGGCGCGGTGTTCCATATCTCTATATAGGAAGCAGATAGGAATCTAATTTTCTATAATATTACCTTATTGCTCGAGCTCGACAAAATAAAAATATTGGCGGTCACACAGGGTGTTCGATTTTTTCTGGGCGGATCCCAACTGTGTCTTTTTAAATGGCAACCTATATTTTTTATCGCTTTTTCGGTTTCTTCATAGAAAATAAAATAAACTTTATGTATATCTGNTTAACAGACGGCGCACGAATGTAAAATTCCTCTCAAACAACATAATAAAGTTCGAAGTCTCAAATTCTATAGTAATACTGAGACAGTTGTAAAATTTGTTTCGAAGTAAAGAGAAAATTTGCAGTAATAATTTCAAAAAACAATTCAGTCTTGATGTTTTGATTTGAAGTTTCATTCAAAATATTTTTTCAGTGAATAATTTTATTTTTCAAATCAATTTTTTGATTTGATATATATGTCAAGCACCTTAATTCTATTTTTCTATTTGTTGAAATATTTGAGTAACTTAATTTTTTAGGTGTACAATTTACGATAAAGTTTTCATTGTTGAAATCGATATTCTGGTTTGATTTCAAATAATCGAATTAGATTTTAAAATGTATCTTCCGTTTAGTTCGGAACTTTTTTCTGTACTGAATCACGGGTAATTGTAAATATTTAAATATTTCATCTATAGTACAAACTTTCGCTAACACTTATAATTCTGAGAATATGTTTTTTATTTTGATTTTCTTTTGAACAACCTATCATGGAAGTTACGTATAGCGGCATCTGCCTGCGAATAGCTAAAGCAATAATTGATAGTTACGTACAGCGCCATCTGCCCGCAAACAGATCAAGCAATAATTGATAGTTACGTACAGCGCTATCTGCCCGCTTTTTTCACAATAATACTAGTATTTTTCGTTCGTTATTGTTTTGAGCTTAAAAAAAATAACTTTTCAGTTCGATGTTCTTTAAAAATGTTTTTTTAGTTTTTAAAACTATTTTTTTATTTTTTTGTTTCGTATACTATAAAAGCGTCTTTTTTAGTTATTTTAAACTATATTTTTTATAGGATCGTCACGTGTGATGAAAAGTGGATAATCTACAACAGAAACGTTCAGGACAGTGGTTGGACGAAACCCCACCAAAATAATACCATGATTACTGTATGTTGGTCAGCGGCTGGTGTGATTCTCTATAACTTTCTGCAACCAGACCAAACCATCACAGCAGAGTTCTATTGTGAGGAAATCGACGAAATGTCCCGAAAATTACGTCAGCAACAGCCGGCACTGGTCGACACAAGGGGACCGATACCGCTACACTACAACGCACATCCGCACGTTTCATAAATCACCGTCAAAGTTCTGCCTCATCTACCCAGATCTCTCGCCAACCGACTACCACCTTTTCAAGCACTTCGATAAGTATTTCATCGCCAATCAGAAACAGATAAAAAACGGCCTTCGTCAACTTTATCGAATCTCGAGCATCCAATTTTTATCGACTTGTATTACGTTGGCACCGATTCAAACGATTACAAATTGAATAAATTGAATATTGCATTCACTGAAATATTCAGCAAGATAACTGCATATCTTTAATTAAAAAACATTGATTCAAAATAAAAAAACGACCTGTTTCATAAAATTTAAATAATGAAATTTATTTGATTGATAATGAATTTTGTGAAACATATGTTTCTGTCTGGGTTATTTGAGTGTAATTTATGTGAAATTATCAAAAACGCCGTTATGTAACGTCTAATCAGAAAAAATACCCGTATATCAAGTTCGTCAGACTCAATAACAATATATCTTTAGTTCTTTAGTTATACAATGATGTCATTTTCAATTCAGATTTGAAAGGTTATTATAAAAACGATTCTGATTTTTGAAATACTATATAAAGGATCCAGTAGTAAATTCATCATAGTGAAAAATAACCTTCTGCCAAATAATGAAAGCTCATTCAATTTTACTTATTTGCCTTATCTACGTGACCGTAGATGCTTGGGAAGCAATAAGTTTATATGATCCTTCAACAAGTAAGTATTTCATTTTCAATAACTAATTTTTGACAAATTTAAGTAACACTTTATTAAGAGATTAGTTGTTACCCGCGGTTTCGTCAGAAAATATTATTTTCCTAGCCAAAAAAAGGATCGCCTTCTAGCTTTCCCTGGATAATAAAACAAAATTCTCGTCGTTCATCGTAGTCCCCAGGTTTTAACGTATGAATATACTGTGGTTTACATGAATGAACATTTTTTTATATTGTATCTTTGCCAATTTCATCTGGAAGCGAAGATGTCCTTCTTCGCGAGTACTGATAATAGATAAAATAAATCAAGAAAGCATGTTCATTCTTGAAATGCTATATGAATATAACATAACAATAATGTATAACTTCAATAGAAAACAAAAGAAAGAATACTAAAACAAAAGAAAAAAACTGATAGTATAATTATTCATTGCTCTACTTGGTAAGAATGGTTATAATAACGGACTCTCTGACAACACAAAAAAAGAAAAGTTTTGATATCACTTTAAGATTTCCATTGCAACTTTTTTTATATGATTCGCCGAGCAAGTAGGTATTAATATCGCAAAAGCTGTATATTGAGTTGTAGTTTTCAAACATATATTTGATTGGGGAATGATATTATGTTTGTTCGTGCTGCAGAGCAATAAAATGTGAGATTCAGCCGTGACTAAGCTCTTGGCACCCTAAAGTTCAGTTCTGACAGGAGCAAATGGCAGTCTACTAGGCTGTGCAGTAGTTTATGCAAAAAGATTGTTGAAGCACATTTTCTCCTTTTTTCTAAAAAAATCAATTGAAAGTGATTGAGAAGACTATAGTGGTCAGAACCCCTAGCTGGATAAATTCCAGTGTTTTTGAAGTACAAGAATTTCAAAAATTTTCTTTGAACTTTTTCAATTGACTACTCATGACAGAAATAGTAGGGGCTCTAAATAATTGAGCAGTATTCAAGCTTGAATCTGACATGTGAGAAATATAATATCTTCAAGGCGTTTATGTTTGTGAAGTTTTGACAAGTTCGTGTGATAAATCCTAACATTTTATTGGCTTCGGAAACTTTTTTGTATATGTGATTGGCAAATGCCATTTTAGAGTCAAAAAATACACCTAAATCCTTAGTCTCCACACCACGGGTTAGCAAACTACCTTGAATATTGTATGGATGTTCAATATGTCTATGTTTTCTAGTATATGACATGACATTACATTTACCTATATTCAGATGTAGGTTATTAATTTCACACCAAACCTGCACAGTATCTATATCTTCCTGAAGTGTTATGCAATCATTCACATTTTGGATAGAATTCAGTATTTTCAGATCATCAGCAAAAAAAAATTTCATAGAATTTATTTGTGTGCTTAAATCATTGATAAATATCAAAAACAACAGCGGTCCCAAATTCGATCCTTGGGGTACGCCAGACTTAGCAATTATTGTGTTTGATTTGTATCCGTTGTAACAAACTATTTGGTTACGGTTAAAAAGGTACGATTCAAAAAAGCCTAGTAGCTTATTACTAAGGCCAATAAGGTCCAGTTTCGAATGTAAGATGCTATNGAACCTGCTTCAATATTGGATATACGGCAGAGAATAATAAATATTTGTAGAGATATTGACGTTACTGTGTTCGAAAATGTTCGGCGTGAAATATCGGATAGGCTGTTCATATGTCAAGAAGTTCAAGGCAACCATTTCGAGCATCTTCTGAACTGACCTTAAGCTCATTACCTCACATTATGCAGTTAAATGTCAATATATTCAGGCAATTATTAAAAGTTCCCCCATTTTGTAGTAGTTGAAGATACTGACATTATATTCTAGGCTTGTGAAGCATTGTCAGGAGCTTCAAAAAGACATGTCACAAGACCCGCCTTCAAAAAATAAAAGGGAGGGGGGACGTTAAAGAAATGCACTGTATGTGTTGAATTGCTCCAGTCAAGAGATTTTGATTTCAGTTCGGATTTTATGTTTCAGATCATTCTGGCCACTGTTACTATTCAGAAATGTCTATGAAAGATGGAGAAGTAAAAAGAATAGAAGGACAATGTGCAACAGCCACCTGTGGGAGCGATAGAAATGTTTACTTAAAAGGGTAAGATGCTGATAGCAAATGTACTCGTATATAAGACGGCTACTTTCTCAATATTCACCACTGAGATCTCGTTAAAGTGGAATTATATGAGTTGTATCACTATTTGTCGGGTTCCAAGGCCGTTGATTTCTGGAATTTCTTCCTGACGTTTCGGTAACGCGAGCGGCTAGTTTCTTCAGAGGTTTATACTACTGGGGCCTAAAGCTAGTCTTATTGCATT